ATTAATCGGTCGGGAAGTGGAAGAGGGCGAAGCGCCGAAAAGAAATCGCACAAAAATTACTTTCAGTCTCTTGTTAATGACAACTAGCTGAAATACAACAGACGAAAAACGGTTTTTTACGTTTACTCTTAAAGTGTATTGCACGTTTGTAAATCTTGGTTTCTAAAGCAACACTTATTAAATGTGCAATAGTGAATTTTGAGAATGCATATCGAAAAACAAGCATTTTTATCATTTTAAATGAATCTCTGATTGAAAAATGGCATCAAAGCAAAATGCCTGTCTGAGCATTTTCCATCTCCTCGTAAGCTTCTTATTTTAATTATTCTCTTTCATTCCGGGAAAAATCCGCGGCCGCCACGTCTGCATATCGACAAACACTTTGTTGTTATTTTGTAATAATAGATGTTTTTGTGCGCCGTTTACAAACTCATCATGTCTGCGACTTTTTGTTGCAAGGTAAGATGGAAACCAAACAGGAGTATCCGGTGTATTTCCATTCTGAGTCCCGACTTTTTGCGCGACTATATTATCGGGCGGGTTATTGTTGCTGTGATGACTTTTTCTCATCTTCGATCCTGACAGAATCAATAGCAATTTATGCAGAGCTCATCCATGGATGAAACAGCGCCGCAAGGGGCTAATATCGACAATTTTAACGCCCATATGAACAAATAAATATTTGAAACGAATGTTAATAAGGGATCTTAATTAACGCTCGCGTGTAACAAAAGCGGAACTTGGCCGACGGCTTCAAATTTAGATTGCTCTGTGCCTCGGAGGACAGCGATACATGGACATTTTAATAAAGCCATATAAGTTAAAATCGAACTTTGGCTTCGTATGCGAGGGTGCAGCGGAGAGCTTTTAATATGAGACCGACATTATTAACTCCGTTTACCTTTGATCACGTATCACGTGGCTTAAATGAGAGCGAAAATGTATTTTTCAGAAATATTTCATTTATGCCGTTAAAGTTAATTGCTTGTATATTCAACCGCATATTTAGCTCAAGTATAACTGTTCGGATTCTATAATAACGATCTGTCATAAATCTGTAACAAACCAACTATAGTGACATAGTGCAAGTGTTGATCCACCCGGTAGATCTATAATTTTCCGTCTCCCAACGAAACTGTAAAACACTTACAATAATACACAATTTAACTTAGAATACTGGAATTAAAACCTCTGGAGTGCTTTTAAAAGGATTCAGTATGCACTGAAGTACTCTGTGCTTAGAATTTCCAGTGCCCTATGAGAACTTTGGTTATGGACGCTTTCGGTTAATTCATCGAATTTACTGAAAATGTTAATTATTACCTCTAAATTATTGCAGATTTTGTGCCGGAAACCACACGCCTCCAATTTAACACATTTTTCTGTGATATTTCTCCACTTAAAAAGTCCTACAACACAAACCACCAACCAACGAGTTTGAACCCCCACATCAAACGTCAAAAAAGCCACCTACACTCCTACCATATAGATAAAATCTTTCTTTCAACTGAGAATGTACATACAAGGTGTTTTTAATTTGTTCCATTTCATCTAAGATAATGCAGAATGTTGTTTCTTTTTTAGAACACAAATATCATCTATCTAAAAATGGATGTTTTGATAATTATGATCTACCTTTCTGCCAACTGATAATTAAAACAAATGATATCATTTGTGGTATACTACAAATTTAAACATTTTATGCCCATTGTGGTAACAGACACTGTCGCCCATTAAGAAAAAACGAAAAAGAAAATCACCAATTGACCTACAGTCGCGGGCAGAAAATCTTTTACTTCATTTTTTCTCATTTTGAAAATTTGGATGTATTTCTTGCGTTATCCTCTTCGATGTTTGAAGTTTAAAAGATCTGCACTCTATTAGTTAGGATCAGGAAAGATGTCGAAAAAATTTAATAACGCTTTTAAAATACAAAGAACAGCCCCTCTTCAACTGAGAAGTTTATCCACACGGCAGGACTATAGTTATTTTTTGACATTTGGTGTGGTGGTTCGGTCAAGTTGGCTGGTGCTTGAACTTTAGAACTTTTTCAGAAAAAAGTATCAAAAACTTCACCGAAAATTGTGTAAAATAGGAAAACATAGTTCCTGGTGCCTGTTCTACTACTATTTTATGGTAAGTGTTGCAAATTTTTGTATAATTTCAAGTATTATGCAAATTGTATGTCACCAAGTTTTCTATGGTAATTCTGGAAATTTTGACTAAAATAAACACCAGCTGTGTATCACACACTACTTAACGTACTCTACAAGTTCTAACTGTGATATTTTAGTTAAAAATTTTGATTTTGTGATGCAAGTATCGTGAAACAACAAATTATGGATCTACCAGGTGGATCAAGTTGCCGTCGTAACTCGTAAACCCATCAACGTTACCAAAATACAATTTAATTTTTGTTAAATAAATTTTTAAATCATTAAAATTGAATTTGCATTCGTGGCGTCTTGTTAACTTAGGTTATATGATTTGTGTAGACGACAGAAAAATATAACATACTTTTTTATTTCTTGGAAGTGCAATGAATGCATAATGATTTTTCTACAATTTATGGTTAAAAATTTGACCAGCAATGGTCCTATAGCTGTGTGGTAAATAACTTTCATCGACAAAGAGTTACAAATAGAGAATTTGGACGACCATCAAACCACATAGGCAATAAAACATTATTCCAACAGATCTTGGAACAGAATTTAAGAGCCGCCCAGAAATAATGACGTCTTTTGCGGTTGTATTAATTAAATTATTACCACCAGTATGTGCGTCTGTGGCGCCCACATTTACGTAAAACCGCTCTCACATTACCACAGTATAAATATTAATTTTCTCTTGTGAAAACTGGATTTGTATTTATGACTGATTGTTTCAAAATATCTCCGTTATATCGTCTATTTTTGTTGTAAATATTTCTAGAAAATTTGATTTGTTTATTATTGAAGTGTGGGAATGATTATTTTTCAGAATCGGTGTTATAAAACTGCTGATTTGATTTGAACATTACACCAGCGGGTCATGAAATAGCAGAGTCGTAACAATAAGCTAAAATAGCGTTTCGCTGTAGTTGTCACTTGGTTTAATGGGCAATAATAGAGTTTGGTGTGTGTGTGTCCAAAAGAGAGGTTATTCTAAAAACAGGTTTTATTTTATTTATAATTTAATAGTGCCGCGGCATCTCAATCACGTTCTTCGTTTTTATTATAAATACTCCCCCGAAAATAAAATATATCTGCTGTAAATTCCATCTTCATCCCCCGTCAGTCGCATTTGAGGAACTGTGAGGACAACTTATTTATGATGTTCTGATATTTTATGCGGATGTAAAACGTACATAAACCGGCAGTGTAAAGGCCGTGGCGCTTCCAGTGCGCATATTAAATGCAGTAATGGCCCGAAATTTTTACAACCTATAAAGAAGGGCTGAGACGTTGATACAAAGCGACAACGTGACAAAAATTCCCATAAAACCGGAAAATTTAACGTATTCGTGAATACAAATCGACGAAATTATAGCAAATTCGCGCCACAGAAAGTACTCCCGTTGCTTAAACCCCGCGCTCTCTAATCGCCCTGATTACAGCGTTTAGGGACCGACAGAAGGGCTATTTATGCGCCATATTTTAAAAAGGGCATAAATCACGGCACATGCTTCCCACTGGCCGATGGCCGGGATTAACTCTCCATTATTCGCGCGTTTCGGGATGACTGATCTTTTCACAAATTAAAAGCCTTCCTCGAGTGAGAAACGGCGATAACAAAACAAAGATTGAGTCCAGAGCGACACGTTAATGCCGGACACGGGCGTTTTTAAAAGGGGACACCAAATTATAATTAAAAATTCATGTTCGGAGCGGACAAAGCAAATTACGTCAAAGGTTGCTATAGTGTCGCATAGGTAATGGACAAAATAAGAGCAATGGCCCTCTCGCTCCTCGTCACGTCATTTTTAAAGTTGATCCAACATCACAGGTAAAAGGGGGAAGAATGAATGCGGTCGAATCAGGTTACAGCTCAACCCCAGGGATCCGCAGAATTTCAAAACAGGAGATGTGTTTGATAAATTTGCCGGCGGATGAAAGGCAAAAAGGGACGCGGCCACATTGAACGGATCCTTGAGAACGGCATTCATATTTCCACGTAATTATTACATTCGGGAGATGCGTGGGGCGAATCCATTGATTCGCTAATACAGGGGCAAACAGCTTTATACATGTGTGGATACATGCGGTCGTAAAGATGGAAATTTTACCCGTGTAGGTCAGTTCACTAGCTTGGATACACAAAAATGACCTGAGCAGAATCGAGGATATCCACTTACTTTAGAATATAAAATTATCGTGCTCAAGCTAATGTGTGTTCAATTACACTGTCTGTACTATTTTAAGAACAATTTGGGAAAGGTTAACGGAAAACAGGCTGATTGGTCGTTTCTATCTTTATTAAAATCACGTTACAAGTTTCGTCCCATTAACAATGCAATAACAAAATCAAGGATAATTATTGTTGAAGTACATGGCTGCAATAAACTATAAAATTTCCCTAGATTCACGAGACTTCGTCCTTAGGGCAGCAAACTTTAGGGTTGGTGCCATTAAAGCCACACTGCGACTCTATCAAGAATGTTAGTTTTTCGCTGGTCAGTTTTTCCTCGAAATTGCTAGCTAACGCGTAAATGGATGCACATTCCTGTAAATTAATGCAAACGCCCTGCTTCTTCGAACCTGCGGTTAAACAGTTATTTCCGCCAACTGGAATCAGAAAAAAACTAGAACAGTTTCGAAATTGTTGTTACCTTTACAACCTTCCGTGTATACACTGCTTATTAATAATGCAGCTATCACGGGTGCGAACATCGCGACTAACAATTTATTACTGAAGAAACCACCGTTCTAGTTCTCCTTGACATTGTCTCACGCACCGTTAGTCCTGAGGTCATCGGATTCCCTCGAAGCAAAACAGTCTCGGCGAGCCACACAAACGTCACATTTGATACACCTGACACTATATTGACATTTTAAATCTTCTATCAAAATTTGCTACCATATTTAAATGTAATTCTTCGTCCGCCTATGGCTGAAGATTCGAAAAGCAGTGACGCATCAGACAGTTCTTCAGATAGTGCAAACGACCCCGTCAAAACCAAAAAGCAAACAACGCAGCCCGTAATCCAGGGCAAGATTACAAAGAAACGCAAGAATACCCTTTCGGTGTGTCTGACAAACTGCCGCTATGAGGTCATCAGGAAGATCGTCCAGAAGTTCGGATACAAAGAGGTGAGCGAGGGCGAAAACTGGAACCTGTACTGGACGGATCTCTCGATCACTGTAGAACGATGCAAAGAGATGAAGCGGTATCAGAAAATCAATCATTTTCCAGGAATGTTGGAAATATGTAGGAAGGACTTGCTGGCGCGGAACCTCAATCGCATGCTGAGGCTATTCCCCAAAGAGTACAACTTTTTTCCGAGGACTTGGTGCCTCCCGGCGGATTTAGGCGAGGCATTGACATACAGCAGGCTGCGCCGAAATCGGACTTTTATCCTCAAACCTGATGCGGGGAGCCAAGGACGCGGCATTTTCGTGACGAAGAGTTTGAAGGATATCAGACCGTGCGATCGCGGCGTCTGCCAAGTGTACATCAACAGACCGTACCTCATAGATGGTTACAAGTTCGATTTGAGGGTGTACACTCTGCTTACGTCTTGCGATCCTTTGCGGATTTACGTTTACGACGAAGGTTTGGTGAGGTTCGCCACGACTCGTTACAAGGAACCGAATTCTGTCAATATCACGAACGTCTTCATGCATTTGACCAACTACGCTGTTAATAAGTACAGTCGCACGTACAACCAGGATTCTGAAGAAGGTAGCAAGAGGAAGCTCACTTGGTTTAACAGTTACTTGCGCAAACTGGGTCACGACGTGGAAGGAATCTGGAAACGAATCGACGACGTCATCATCAAAACGATCATCAGTGCCGCTCCCGTGTTGAAACATAGTTATGCTGCGTGTTTTCCCAACCATGATGTGATACCCGCCTGCTGCGAACTGTTGGGTGTGGATATAATTTTAGATAAGAGACTAAACCCGCAAATTCTAGAAGTCAACCATTCGCCGAGTTTTCACACGGACACGGCGTTGGACTGGGAGATCAAGGAGTCTCTCCTGTCCGATATGTTCACGATGATGAACCTCGACAAGTGCGACAAGCGCAAAGTGATGCGGGAAGACCGGAAACGCATAAGAGAGCGACTTCTCCACGGCAAAGACCACCAACCGTCCATCGTCGTCAACTTCGACGAGTTCTACCGCCACGAGATGAACAACAGAGGAGGATTTAGACTGGTGTACCCCTGCGCGATCAACAAGATTCACTACAACAAGTTTTTCGACCAAGGACAAGGTTCGCTGTATTCGGAAACCGCTGCGAGCAGAGCTCGAGAGGCTGCCCAGAACGCCCTCAGGGACGAGATGCAGCTGAAGGCCCGACTGGAGGCGGCCAAGCGAGTCGTGCCGGCGCAGCCGAAGGTACATCAACCCAAGAAGCACGAGGGTCCTCAGAACGCGATGAGGTCGCCGAAAATCAACGCGCCCTTGTCGGTAATGAGTTCTTCGGAGCCTCAGATGATCGTCGAGTCCGAGGAAAGGGACAGGCTTCAGAGACTGGCGCAGAGGGAGTACTTGATCAGAAGTCACGGGATTTTGGAGCACGTTTACTTTTCGATGAAGAAGAACGGCAATCTGAGACCGCGAGACGAGAAGAAGTTCGCAATTTTTGATAAGATACGTAGCTCGAGCGAGAACAATTTCAACAAGCAGAACGGAGTAGCAATTTCGGATCTGGTAGAATCGATCAAAGCGAAATCTAGTATTTAGAGGGCGTATTAATAAAGTTATTCTTTTTAAGATACGTTTATTTGCTTATCTACAAATTATTCGGGATCTATGTATTTTTTTACTTAAGACGAATTATATTGAGAGCTTTGTTTCTTTTTTCACTTGTGAATAGTCGTGACGACCCATTCGATGTAAGAAGAAACTTTCGAGTAGATCGAGGTGTTGGTGTTGAACTGGCAACCGACTCCTAGGGAATACACACCGATGAGGAATAAACGCTGAGTGTCGAGTTTTTTTCTCATCATAAGGGGGCCTCCGGAATCTCCGGGGCAGGTTTGAGCGTTGTGGGTGGACCCTGCACAAAATTGTTTGGTGGTGAGGTTGCGGTTCACTCGACAGGTTTCTTTGCGCCTGAGCATAAATCTCGCTTGGACTTTAGTGGGGTTCATCACTGAAAGAAACTAAATTGAGAAAAACGACCCTCGCAAGTACGAGAAGACTACGTACCGTTATTTTCTGTGTTGCCCCAGCCGGCAATCAGCAGCGTTTGATTAAAAGGTGCGATTAAATTTTTCGGAGGCAAACAAATCGGTTTGATGAAATCTGAAACCTTCATTGAGATGAAATTTGCGTAACATGACCCTTACCTGTGTACTCGACTTCACGACTCATGCGTATTAAAGCGATGTCGTTTGCGAACGTAGTTAGCTTATAATCAGGATGCATATTGTAGGATTCCACAGGTATTTCTTGAATTGGATCAGCACAGTCGTCACCTAAGCAATCCGTTTCATTCCGTACATCATACTCACCCAATACCACGGAAGTTCTAAAACTTTCATGTTTATTGATGTTCGTTTTTTGTTTAATATCAACTCACAAGTTTAGACCGTCTATGTTCAACCTGTTTGGATCAACACAGTGAGCGGCAGTCAATAGATACCTGTTAGTAATAAGGCTACCATGGCAGCCGTGCTTCACGTCACCTTTTTTTGTGCGATATTTTATTAGACCAATCCACGGATAGTCGTCAATGCCAGTTTTCTCTCCTCCTGATATTCTCTGTTCTACATTCTCTTCTCCACAGCTATCGTAATTTGGGATGAGTTCACCGCTATCCATAAACTTCGTGACTTCTTTTTGGTCTGGACAGTTCACGTAGATACGATTGTTCTCGAATTTACAATGTAACAGAGTGAGTAGAGTTGTACCAGCAAAAGTACCCTTTTTAGTTTTTATTATTTCATTAACGTGGGGACAACTTTGTAGTTGCACACATTCATCTTTCTTATCGACTATAGAAGCTGTGTGACTCCAGATTTGTAGAAAACCTAGAAAATCTACAAGAAACTTAATAGAAGGCATTTTTTTGTTGTGAAGTATGCTTACATAAGAAGAATACTGTTTTATTAATACAACACATTTCACCAACTTAGAGAACAACAACCTGTCACTGATCACAAGCGAATAAACATTCGACTAATCATATAAAAGTTTTATTATTTATTATTTAGTTTGCTGGATTCCCAGAGGTTATCAGCAGATTATGGTTATTTCAGTGTGACTTCTAGCTAATGAACACCACAGCTTTGATTCGTACCCCTGCATAAATTAACGTAATATAATCCGTTATCAATTATCATTTGGTATTTCCAATTTCTGCAACCCGACCTGATTTGTTCGCATTTCCTTTGATGTTATGATAAATAGACAACGTTTTGTTTTCAGGTTTGCGTAACATTACAAACGAATAGAAGATCCGGTTTACTAAACGTTTTCCAAATAACCCATATTTTACACATCCGGTTAAACCGATATAAGTACTTTGTCTTGTGGAGTCTATATTCCAGGTTGTAAAAGCAAATTTATCAATAATATCAACATCAGTGTTAGCCGAGTTAAAATGTGGTCGATAATAGTGAACCGAAGATGCAACCCAAAATACATTTTTCACAGGTTTAGTTTATCAAAAAATATTAAACACAGAAAATCATCATTTATTTTTTCATTGTTTACAATAAAAGACACTTGAATCTTTGTCACTAAGTAAAATACAAAACCAGTCTTAATTGTTGTCACAGAAAGTGGAGGAAAAAATGTAACGTGATTCAGTTACAAGTCACTTTTAAATCTTAGCTGTCAAAAATAAAGAATATCTCCATTTTTTGACTTGAGCAATAGTAAACATACAAAAATAATACTTTTACAAAAAGAGTAAAGACTTTTACATTTCTCGAACTCCTAGCTAATCTGTTGGTTTATCCAATTCACATAAGGTGGCAGAAAAGTATAAACTCCGGGGAAGCTCCCGCACAACTGACCATATCCATAGGACACCATACCAACTGCGAACGTTGCAAAGTATCCATTTGGTGTCCTCACCTCTAACATTAAAGGTCCCCCAGAATCACCATAGCAGCTATCGACACCACCACCCTTCCCTGCACACATCTGTCTACCTGTCAACTTCCTCTTGCCATTTAACTGATTACATTTAGAAGGACTTGAATAACCTATGGTTGCCTTTCGTTTAACGGGACTTCGTTTCTCTAAAATTTCTATGTTTATTAAAAAAATTAAAAAAACCGACAGTAGTACCGCTTTCAGTCCGTCCCCATCCACTAATCGTAAAGCTTTCGTTCCCTCGTAGTTTGAAATCCGGAAATGGTAAACATATCGGTTGTACGTAATCTACAATTCTAAACTAATAACCAAAACAACGATTTCATTCAAAGTACTACCTGAAAAGATTGCTTTCCGATCGAGCCGAATAATGGCAATGTCGTTTATCATAAGCCTAGAATTGTAATCAGGATGCATGACGTAGTCATAAGCGTTGAACTCTTGCGGAGGATCTGCACAGTCTTCACCATACTTCTGGTAAATACAATCCGTTTCATTCCTCGTGTCGAACTCCCCCAAAATCACGCTCTGCCTGCAACAATCCCCCCGTTTTCCAAAAAAATTTTCGAAAGGTCGTTCAACTCACAGTCGCCCAAGGTCTTTCTGTCTGATAATATCGGGATCGACACAGTGCGCTGCGGTTATGACGAATCTCTCGCTGATCAAACTTCCTCCGCACGCGTACTGAACCTTGTTCCTGTTGACGTACTTGAGCAGCGCCAGCCACGGGTACTCGTCCAACGCGGTTTCGGTACCACCGATGATTTTGTTATCAGAGTTCTGCCTACCGCACTCCCCGATGTCCGGATCCGGGAAAAAGTTGGAAAACCTCTCGTGCACGTCCTTCTCGGTAAAGACGGGCGTCACTTTGCCCTCATCCGGACAGCAGACACGGACTTCCGGATCGTGGTCCGTGCTGCAGCGGTACTCTCGGAGGTACTTCTTGACCACACGATCGTGCTGGTCGACATTTTCCATGTATTGCATGAATGAGTCGCACTCTTTGACGTTTTTGCAAGTACCTGCGGGAAACCGTTACTAATTTTAAACATTTTTTTCTTCGTCTCACCGTTCCGAGAATCCGGCGTTTTGCAGCGGAGGAACAAAGTGCACCAGACTTTGGGATCTTGCCCGTCGAAACCGCAATGAGAGTACCGTAAGAATGCGATTGTTTCCGGGGCGTAAGGTTTGGTTTTTATCAGTTTCATGGCCAGCGGACAGAGCTTTAGTGGAATACATTCTATTCTGGTGGCTGAAACGTAATCTGGAAAGTTAATGGGTGATTAATTGGTAAAGTTTCCGTTGGAGATGGTAGCGTTGCAGGTTGAGACACGTTCGGTGTTTTGCTTGGTCATGGTAGGCAGGAAATGGCAATTACAGGGGGATCAGTAGGCAGCGAATAGTTTGAAAATTGTTACAAATGTTGTTTACAAAAACACATTTTAGTAAATTACTAAGAGATCTTTAATGACGGTAATTTCGTTTCAAAATTTGATATTTCATTTCGTTTGCAGAATTATCAACGTAGTTTTTGTTTGATTAGGTATTGGGTTTATTTTAAATTAACTAGATTTAGTCATTGGGTATACTTTAATCAGGTCATTATTGTAAAAACAAATAACAATTTTCACTGATTTGTAAGTATTATTTTGATATAACCATAGGTAAAGTACTTAATTTATCTGTTTTCTCACCAACGGGTTAAGGGATTTTGTGCCTAAGATTTTAATTAGATAATAATGTTGAAATTAATTAACAGTAGTCCCTAGAATGAAGGGGAGCTTACTTAGAAAGGAGTCTGTAGGAGGAGTTATACTTAGCCCCGCCCACGCACCCCGCCTCCATTTCAATGATTCATTTTATCTGGTCCAAATGATGGGCGGGGCTACTGCTTACTTATAAAATTCTGTAGAAAAAAAACAACTTCTCCCCGCCCAATCAAGATTTAAAACAAAGTCAAAATTAACTAGATTTAATTATTGGGTATACTTCGATCAGCTCACAAGTTCACTGTTGTAAAAATAAATGATAATTTGTACACATTTGTATATATTACTTTGACATAACAGTATGTAAAGTTAGAATAGATTTGATTTCAGATAGTTTGTTTATTTGCATAAGTCTAAAGTAGTCTAGGTCCACAACATTCCAGGCTCCCAATTAACAAGTTGTATAAGATGAACATTTCCTTTTAATGACTAATTATAACCGACACGAATCCATAAACAAATGTACGTTAAAGTCACGTCTAAGATTAGCAATCTACTTATTTGAAATGGCGATTTATTGTGGTACTTAATTATTTTCATCGTATCATTAAAGTTTAATTGCTGCAATTTACATTCTCTGTTATTATTGTTTCGGTTGACTGTATGTTAAAATTAATTTAGCAGTTAATGCGTATATGAATATAATTCGCAGATTGGAAAAATGTGTTCGTCACTTTTGTGGTTTTAGAAAAAATAAGCTTCTGTATATACTATATTTCTTGAACATTTTTTTCATTTTTTGATAAACGATTTTCGTTTTCCTGCTAAAAATAAAAATACATTTTAGGAGAATTAAATTATAATTATCTAATGAAGAATCCGGTCAAAATTAAATTTTTATAACAAATCAATATCATAATAGGATTGAATTTCTTATCCAACATTTGAAGGTTAAATCAAAAGAAACAAATTAACATCGCTATGTGAATGTAATTTAGCTACAAAATTGTTTTCAAATGCCAAAAGGTTTCATCAATCTGAAAAAAATCATGACGTGAAATCTAAAATAATAAAAAGCTTGCGTGCATATTTTATAACGATTTATTATTTCAGTTTCAAAATAAAAAAATAAAAAGTGTAGAATTGGCAAATAGCAATTATAAGAAAAAAACTAGACTCAATATGAGATTTCTCCTTGATCATTTTTAAAGTAGAGACAATCAAAGCGTGGAAAGTTTTGTTTTGTTTTTATAAAAATTGCATAAATGGTGTTTTTTCTTCATTATTGGCAAGTTTAGTGCGTTAATTATATGTCAAATCTCAGTTATATAAATAATCAAAATATACAGTTGTTAAGAACTCGAAAAGGAAAAGGAAACTAAAAAAATAAAATAAAACAATTTTATTTCAAAGAAACAGAACGCACAAAGAAGAAAATGTCTTTACAAATCTACATTTTTAGGAAAAATTGGAACAGTAAACAGTATAATATTAAATATTTTATATTAACTTTTTTATTTTGGTATAACAAAAATGTAACAAAGTAGCGAATTTATTTACTTATTTTTTATTTTGTTGTTATAAATCCGGTGATCAAACCACCAAGATGCATTAAGAATAGCTAACAAAGTTTATAGTATTTAACTAAATCCTTCTATGACGTCAAAACGGTAATTACTATTCACATTGTTAGTGTGGACTTTAAATGTTGTAATATTAATACATGAGTACATCAATGATTCGTATTTTATTTCATTAATTTCTTGCTTATATACCGAGTGAGTCATTGAGCGTGCGTTCCTCGATATCTCATTAACTATTAGAAATAGAAAACACACAACCTAGTTTTTTTTTTTAATGAAACATCGTATATATCTTTACATATTGTAATTAATCACTTCTTAAGGTTAGAACCAGAGTTCATTTTTGAAATTACGATGCGACGTTGCCGCGTTATTTCAATTTTCTGGAATTTTTTTATTAATGGAAGGGTTACCAAAAAAATATCACAGTGGGGTTATTTTTTAAATCTGTGTTACAACATTTTGTGGAGAGATAAAGAAAGGTGCGCGCTTTGTTATGGTATAAATGAGATTAAATTTTCTTATACAGAGTGATTATTAAAAATGTTTTCATTATTACAATTTTGATAGTTACTGCGATATTTTACTTTTTTAAGAGGCACGTCGCCATATTAAGAATGAAGACAAAATAGAGTAAGATACAATAAAAAATACAGGTGTTCGCGCGCTTAGTGACTCACCCTGTATAACCCAAAAATTAATTTGATACTGGTGAATCTATGAACCTAACTATTAGATCTATAGACATTCATATTACACAAAATATTCGGAAAATTTTAAATTTAGGGAATTTCCGTTTTATAAGTACTTGTTAAATCATGTCTAATGAATACTTTGCCGTTAAAACTCGGAAAGTATAATGATTTTATAAAATAGTGAATATAGTTTTTGAATTTGCTGCTTCTTAAATGCAAAATATAGAAAAAACAGTTAAAAATTGTATTTATTGCAGCCAGGTGGTGAAACAAAGGCACAAAACTCTATCTGAATAAATACATATGTATATTTATATACGGAGAACTTTATTTTGTTTCCCACACCTTCCTTCGAAATAAAATAAATATTTAATAACATTTGCACAAACAAAGGTTACGGTCGATGAAAAACATGTAAATATCACATACTAGAACTGCATTCAAATGCAAAAGAAAATTCTGTGGTTTCTAACCGCAATTATTATTATACCATAGTAAGCAGCGAATATGGTAAATATCTACATTTTAAATCTGCTCTTATTCAAAAGCGAAGGTGAACTTGTTTTCGTGAACAATAAATGTGAAGTTAATTAGGAAATTTAATTAAATCCGTAGCGTCAACACCGCCGAAATATGAAACATAGTAAAATGCGCATATACATAAAAATTAATTTGTAATTCTTTTTTAATTAAATAAATTCTGATGTTACGATTAAACAGCAAATATAATTTAGACTACCTCTAATAAGACACAAAAATTTCCTTTGTAAACGTAAAATTTAGCTTAATATTTTTGGATTAAAGTTAAAAGTTCCAAGTACTAAAGTCACTACTCCTTTGAATACTCACTTTCTGTTCTCGATAACCACAGAACACACACCAACAACACGCAAACACTGGAAGCGGAAACTTTTCCTTCGATCATTTTGTTTTGAATGTCGGGAATTTACAAGCGTTCGGCCATAACCTGTCAGAAGTTTATAAACTGAAAGCGAAGTGACGTCACAAGTGAATTTGCTGCTGTATAATTGTTACGAATAAAAGCGTGATTTCCCGTATTTCGGTTATCGCACGTGCTAGACACATCTCCCCTGGTGTTGATTAAATTTTACTAATCTAGTGATTAATGGGTCATACCGTCAACTGGAGAAAAACGGTTTGCGTATTTTCCTTTTTTTATGCAACAAACACATCTCCGGTACGACCTTGGTCGTACCGCGAGGTGAACGAACATAGATCAAGAATTTTGGACCAATTTAAATGTTGACGAAAACCAGTTGAAATTTTTATTCATGTATCGTATCTAATATCCATTTTATAAATGTTGATACGTTGGTATAAATCGCCGAACTTCCCCCACACTTGGAGCCGTACGAGACTATACCGATTAAAATATTTTTGACGTCGCGATCTGGTGTCAGTCTGGTGACCATCAGAGGTCCTCCGGAGTCTCCCCTGCAGGTATCAGCACCGGTATTACTGCCTGCACAAATCTGGGTCCTGTCCACACCATAAAGCGAACACGCGTCGTTCGAAAGGTACAAAATCCTCGCTTTCAGTTTGATGGTACTCGAAGTTCCTGAAAAACGGTGTCATTTTTAAGACGACAGAAAACGGTGCTACCAACTCGTCTCGGTGACGCCCCATCCTGAGATGAACAACGGTTCGTGACGCTTTAAACTGATAGGCTCTAACGGTAAACAAATCGGTTTAACGAAATCTGAAAACCGAGAAATTGATTTTTTATGCGTAATTTGGTAACAAAGTACCTGAGAACGTCACTTTTTTATTCAGTCGTACTAACGCGATGTCGGAAATGGCGTTATCGGTTCCGAAATCTGGGTGAATGTGGATGGTCTCTGGCGAAAAAATTTGTAACGGGTCAGTGCAATAACCGCCCCATTGTTGAGGTAAGCAATCTCTTGCGGTGCTCGTGTCGTACTCGCCCAGAATAATTTTGTCTCTGCGAAAGCATTGGATATAGATTAGAGTGACTTGGTCGTTTAGTACTTACAAACTTCCGAGTTTTCCCCTACTGGCCGAATTGTAGCTCAGACAATGAGCCGCCGTCAGCACGTACCTGTCACTGATCAGAGTACCATGGCACCTGTAGGCAAGATGGTTGGTACGATTTTTGTACTGGAACAAAGCTAACCACGGAAAGTCTTCTAAATCTGTGCGTTCGCCCTGTGTTATTTTCGAGCCGGCTGCTTGAACGCCGCATTCGTCTTGTTTTGGTAGAAGATCGACCTTGCTGTTTCCTGGAAAATGATTAGTTTGAGTACAACAAACTGATTTATCCTAACCTTCTTGTCGGTTTTCTTCAAAGTCTGGGATTTGGTCGCACCAGACTTTTGGTACTAGGCGACCTCCTTTGTTTACTAATCCACAGTGAACCTTCTGCAAGAGTGCTACTGTCGTGGGGTCATGCCGTCTTTTATCGATGTACTTGAGGGCTACAGGACAGTCGCTGATGAAGATGCATGCACTCCACGTAGGTGCTAGAATTTTTACAATTGACGTGTTTCACATAAAAAATATCAATTTAGTACTTACATAAATTTAAAACTTCGAGCAAAATTACAATAAACGCTTGGTATTTAATCATTATTTAGAAAGCAGTTTTTCCATTCAGCTTAACAACGTCATATAATACTTATTTAAACACAAACCTGACTGCCCTGAGGTTATCGATATATTTTTTCTCTCTCGCACATGCACGGAAAGCAAACTAATCGTTATTAAAACAAATATGTGCAGTGTGCCAATGTGTGTAGACTGGTCATAAAGTAAAGAGCACGACGTGTATTTTATATGATTGCATGAAAAAAATCGAAAAATTGAAACATAAGGAATATCGATAAATCGAGGAACACCAAATCGAAAAATGTAAATACCCAAAAATTGGAAAATCCAGAAATTGAAGAGTTGACAAAATGAAGCACTGAAAATTCTAAAAATCGCGAAATTTAAAAATCGGAAAGTCGACAAATTTAAAAAATCGATGTCAAAGAAATGTCAAGAAATCGAAACAAAAAATCAAAATACTGAAAATTTTAAAAATTGGAAAATGTAAAATTTAAAAATTCAAAAAGTTTTGGAAATGAATCAAAAATTGATAAACAAAAAATTTAAAATTTAGAACATTAAAATACTATGCAAAAATGAAAAATTGGGAAATCTAAACATCAAAAAATCGAAAAACTGAAAAATTCCAAATTCGAGAATTTAAAAATCGAAAAATGAAAAGTGGAAATATCTAAAAACCGGGAAATCCAGAAATCGGAAATACAAGATTTGAAAAATCGCATAAATTGAAAAATTCTAAAATTGGAGAATCTAAAAACCGAAAAATCGGGAAATTAAAACCTCAAAAGATCGAAAAATTAAAATATCGAAAAGCTAAAAAGTCGAAAAATCGAAAAACCACGAAATCGCAAGATCGAAACATCTAAAAATTAAGAACGGAAACATCGAGAAATCGGAACATCAAAAGATTCAGAAATCGAAACATCAAAAGATCGAGAAATCGAAAAATCCAATAATTGAAAAATCCAATAATTGAAAAATCGAAATTGGCCAAAATCGAAAAGTTGAAAATTGAAAAATTGATAAATTGAAAAATCAAGAAATTGAATTGTAAAAAATGGAAACATCAAAATTTCTATAAATCGAGAAATAGGAAATTGAAAAATCGAAACACTGAAATATTGAAAAACTTAAAAACCGGAAAACCGAGAAATTAAAAACTCCAAAACTGAAATGACAAAAATTGGGAAATCAAAAAAATGAAAAATCGGAACACCAAAAATTGAGCAAAGTCAAGAAATCGAAAAATCGCTAAACTGAGAAATCGAATTAGGCCAACGAAAAACGGAAAAGCTAAGCATTGAAAAACTAAAAAATTTAAAATAAAAAAAATATAATTAAAAAAATTAAAAATTACAAAAAATCGGTAAATCGAAAAATTGAAAAATCAAAAAATCTAAAACCGAAAAGTCAAAGAGTCAAAAAATATATCGGAACATCAAATAACTGAAAAATCAATATTTAAACATTCGAAACTTGAAAAATCGAAGAACTGAAAAATCCAAAAATTGAGGAACCGAAAATTTGAAAACTTTAAAAATATAAAAATTAAAATATCGAAAAAATGAAAAATCGACGTACTGAAAAATCCCAACACTGAAATAAAATAATTGAAGAATCGAAAAATTGAAAACTTCCAAAGTCTAAGATTTAATAATCAACAAATTCAAAAATCGATATTCGAAAAATCGAGAAAAAAAATTTAATAACGGAAAATAAAAAATTCAAAAATCGAAATTCGGCAAATCGAAAAAACATTTTCAAAATCGGAAAATTGAAGAATCGAAAAATTGAAAAATCGAAAAACTGAAAAATTCCAAAACTAAAATAACGAAAAATTAGAAAATCGAAACATCGAAAAACTGGAAAACCGAAAATTTGGAAGATCGAAAATCCGAGACATTGAAAAATCAAAACATCGAAAAATTCAAAAACTGAAACATCAAAAAATTGAAAAGTTGAGAAGTCGAAAAATCGAATAATTGAAAAATCAAAGTGGGCCAAAACCGAAAAGTCGATTGGAAACTTGAAAAGTCGAAAAACCTAAAACTGAGAAGTCAAAAAATCGAAAGACCGCAAACATCAAAAAACTGAAAAATCAAAAATTTAAAAATTCGAAACATTGCAAAATCGAAGAACTGAAAAATCGAAAAATTTGCAAAATCTAAAATTTATAAATCGAGAAGGTAAAAACTAGAATTCCAAAAGTCGAAAGATCGAAAAACAGAAGAATAAAAAATTTGAAAAATTTTAAAATTGAGAAACTGAAAAATTAAAAAATCGGGAAATCGAAATTCAAAGTCGAAATTTCGAAAAATTGAAAAATTGAGAAACTTAAAATGGTAACATAGAAAGACCAGAAAATTGAAATCTGGGAAAATTAAAAAATCAAAAAATTGAAGAGTCGAAGAATTTAAAAATCGTAAAACTGAAACATCAGAAAATTGATAAATCGAAAAATGAAGAAATCGAGAAATCGAATATTTGAAGAATCGAGAAATTGAAGTATCGAAAAATTGGAGAATCGAAAAGATGGAGAATAAAAAACAAAAAAAATCCCAAAACTGTAAGAAATCGAAACTTGATAAATAGAAAAATCGAAAAGCCGAAAAATAAAAATTTCGAAGAATGTAGAATAAAAACTCAACACGGATTCATAAACCACACACGGAGTATTGCATTATTTTATAAAATTTAAAGAACATTTACTATTGCAAAATTTGGAGATGACGTTTACATTGTTGGTTCTGATTAATGATGATTAGACAAATTTTGGTTAGTATTTTACCATCATCATGAAACATCGAGAAAATATGAAAGTAGCCAGACGCCCGATGGACTCGATTACAATACTTCCTTAGCTTCCAAAGATTTCCACAATATAAAGTTGTTTCATTCGTTTGTTTTCTTCTCAAACCCTGTGTGGGCATTTCCAAACCATTAAACTATATTTTTCGTTAAATAAGTATTTGTTTGGTATATTTTTTAAGATGACATCTGCAGTTTTTAGAGCAGATGTATGTAAATGTTAAAAATGTTACCAAAATATATGCACCAATATAAAAGACAGAGATATTATCCAGTCTTATAAAGAATCTAGCAAGACAACTCCATCTGGCGTACAATATAAGATCTAACACACTCTCAAATTTTAATACAATTTTTGCATAAGCGTGTCAATTTCTTGTTTACGTTTAACCAAGGGAGGAGTAAGAAAACTACGAACTGCTGTAGATATTTTATTTCTTGAAATAAAACCAAAATCAAATTATCTACAAAACAAAAACCGACATAACCTAGACTAAAATACTAATACACTGTAAAAATACTTATAAATACCAACTTTCATTTGAAACCTGTACCTATAAGAATAGTTTGAATCATCGTGCCGTGATTCAACAACTGAAATTTTTATAAATTAAATTATTCGTTGCACATTATACGCTTACACTCTCATGGACGGTACTGGACTGAGTTTGTGGCAATAAATCATAGGATGCATTTTTTGCGCCCCACAGTGTACAGACCGAAACAAGTTCACCACTACAGGATCAAACACACCCTGATGTATAATCCTAACAGCTTTGGGACAATCTTGTAAACGAATGCAACCCGTCCCACTGTCAGAGTCTGGCAAATCAGGAATGGTACTACATTTAACAATTGGAACTTTTCCGTTGAAACCACAGTGTGCTCTCCTCAGGATTTTCAAACTTTCGTTGTTATTCTTCGCGTTTTTGACGTGCTTCAAGGCTGCTGGGCATTCCCTAATTCCTATGCAACCTTCATCATCGGGAAAAGCATGCACTTTCACAACTAAAATGAGCGAGATTATCACAAAGACTAAAATAGACGTGGTACTTAACTTACCCAAGTATGTTACCAACAAAACAAGCACTTTAGAGGACACGTCACTAGCCATCGCGCTGGTGTTCAATAACACGAAACTCTACTCGTTCGTCATTGCCGTCACATTGGGTTTTCACAGATCAAATTGATGGCAACCGTGTTTACACCATTTTAAACTGGGGTTATCAAAGTCCGTTAAGTTATCGTGTTGTGGTAATGAAGCAACATTCGTATTGCACAAAAATATATTTATATTATAATGTACAAATATTTATTCTATTTTCTCAATACAAAATGAAAATGAGGTACGAACATCCAGGATTTGCATGGTTTGAACGTCATCGCATGTAATAAATAAACTCTTGTCAGACTCTAGTTATGTACATCGCTATTTTTTTTTAAACAGCGTTGCTTTTGATCCAGTCTATGTATTCTCCCACCTTGGTGTAGACTCCCGGCCACCCTTGACTCCCACATCTGGCTCCAAACGACACGATTCCTTCGAGGTACCATTGAGCCGAGTCATTCTTAGTCGTTGCCATTAAAGGTCCTCCACTGTCACCATTGCAAGAGTCCCTACCGAGCTCTCCTCCAGCACACAGTTGTTTGTTTCCCAGATTTACCCCAGCCGACCTAAATTTAGTACTGCATTGAGACGTTTCAGCTACTGGTACCCACAACTTTAGCTTCACGGGACTACTACTAGCAAATTCAGTCCTGCCCCATCCTGCTACCACCAGTCTGTCTCCAGTTCTAGGCCTTTCAGCCCTCGACGGCAAACAAATGGGTTTGATGAAATCCGAAAATTGTATTTCCCGTTTTAGTTTAATTAGCGCGAGGTCGTTGTGCCTGTCGGCGCTGTCGTCGTTGTAATCGGGGTGCACTATGATATTGTCGATTTGTGAGTTCACGGGCTTGTCGTTGCAAATTTCGAAACCTAATTGGTTGCTGCAGTCTCTGTCCGTTTCGGTGTTGTACTCTCCGAGGCGTACGTTTACCCTAGAACGATGTATATGTAATGTTGGAAATTGAGGGCTTGTGGTACTTACAAGGCTCCGATTTTTGTGAGGATTTGACCTCGGACGCAATGTGCTGCGGTTAGCACGTAACGGGACGAAATGAGGGTACCACCGCACGAAAAGACAAGATTTCCGGATTTCTTACGGTACTGTAACAGTGCCATCCATGGAAATTCTCGCAGACCTGTGGCTTGACCGTCCAGAATTCGATCCACGTCCTAGAAACAACCCAAGACTATAACTTTCAACTTTTATAAAAAATACGAGTACCTACCTGAAAACCGCAAGAGGACCTATCGGGAAGTTTGCCGCCTGAACCTTGGTTTGGTCTTCCAGCGTTAGTTTCGGGTCTTCTGTTTGAAAATGTGTCTTCACCCCAACCACCAAACTCCTCAGAACTTGTCCTTCTGTTATTGGTACCACCTGGGCGGCGATTGTTGTCGCCCCTCCGGTTACCATTACCCCGGTTAGTACTCGTGGTGGTTCTTCTATTACCCCCCCAACTTCTATCATCGTCGTCTTCACCCCACGAGGGCACATTCGTTTTTCTTGTGGTACCCCCCCAGTCGAAGGAGTCATCCCCGTAGGGTACGTCGTCCGAACCCCACGACCGGTAATTATCGTACGACCCGCAGCACACCAGCGGTCCTCCGCGTGTCCCACATTGAGACTCCTTGAGGAAGCGTAGCTGCTGCTTGTCCTGGGTAGTCACGGCGTCGTACAACCTCGTACAAGACCGAATTGGAATGCAAGCGGCTATTTCTCCATTAGGGGTTGAGCATTGGCGTTCTAAAAAGTTCAAGAGTGTTTTTGTACGGAAAAGTACACACAAAAACGAGCGTCTTTGTGGTTTAAAAATAAAAGAGAAACTTACGTCCATTGATGTATGACGAGAAAAGACACAAACAAACCACTGAGAAATTTATTTGGAAAGACCGCATCGCGCCCGTCTGCCTTGACGATGTTTGTTGTACTAACAGATACGAGCTACTCGTCTTTCAAGTTTACTTTTTTCCGCCTGGAGTTATACGCGCGGATAATGAGTCAAGGTATTCCCGAAACAGGTGATAAAAGAATGAATTTAATGCAGAGGCAGCGGATTTAAATTTGCTTCAATGAAATACCAACTTTGCGTACAAAAAATTCCGGGATTTAAATAGAGAGTGTAAAACACATGATGGCTTCTTGGAATTGGTTTGGCTAACTTCGTGTGGCGTACGTCCCCACTGTGTTATTAATAACGAAGATTATACTTTGAATAATTAGCTGGGAGATAACGTTCATTTTGTTGTTATTTTGTGTGATAAGTATATATTTGTTAGAGGTTGTTTACAATATTGGAAGAAAACGGATTTCCAATAACGATATTTTTATAAGTACGTAGCATTTTTCCGCAAAATTTACGTCGAAAAATACAAATCTTGCCATTGTAACTTTAATATCCAGAAATTAAACATTTGAGTATAATTCCAGAATCGCCGAAAAATTTTAACAGCTCTGAATGATTAGCACCTAAACTAAATTGTCTCCAATGACACGAAACTATGCAGATAATATCGTAAATGACTTTGCTAAAAGTTTAAACATTCTAAATATAAACAGTTACGGCGTAAAAATCTTTAATTTATCTCAAATTCGTGGAAATACAAAAATTCTGATACGGAAAAGTGACGCATTTTTGACACACTACTGAAAAAAATTGGTAGAAAGTTCTTCGACCGAATCTGTCTGTCTGAAGTGCAGCTCAACAAAACCAGTGGCATACTAGAGGACTGAAAACTCGAAAAAGTGAAAAATTTTAAAATCAGAAAAATGCAAAATTTCGAAACCAGAAATTTTAAAAATCAAAAATTGAAAAATTTGATTGAGAAATCGAAAACATGAAAAATGAGAAATCTATATATCGAAAAGTCAACTTTTTAAAAAACGAATAGAAATCGAAACATCAAAAAATCGTAAAAACAAAAAATTGAAAATAGAAACATCAAAGAACTGAAAATTTGGGAAATCGAAAATTTGAATAATTGAAACCTTGAAAAATTTGAAAATCGAAATTTTGAAAAATTGAAAAACGGAGAAATCGAAAACTCGAAACATTAGAAGATCGAGAAATCTATAAACCGAAAAGTGAAAAAATCGAAAAATTGGGAAATCGAAATAGACCAAAATCGAAAAATCAAAAAAATTCAAAAATCGAAATGGCGAGGAATTAAACAATCAAACAATCGAAACAATTTCGAAATCTCGAAAAATCGAAAATTTGAAAAAACAAAAAACTGAAAAATTTAATCAACACTTTTAAAAATCGAAAAATTGAAAAACCAAAAAATCTAAAACCGAGAAGTGCGAAAAATCGAAAGATCAGATACTGAAAAATTTTAAATTTTAAAATTCAAAAAATCTAAATATAGACGAACTGAAAAATCGAAAAGTCGAGTAATCGATAAATAAAAAATTTAAGAATCAATAATTTTAAAAATCGAAAAATTGAAAAACTAAAAAATCTGAAATTTAAAAATTCAAAAACTCTAAATATCGAAGAATTGAAAAATTGAGAAATAGTAAAATAAAAAAATTTAAAATTGAGAAATCAAAATATCCAAAAATTAAAAAATCCAGAAATCGAAACATCAAAAAATCCAAAAACTGAAAATTTAAAATATAAAAATCTAAAAAATGGAGAATCGAAATACTGAAAAATCCCATAACTGAAATATTGAAAAATTGATAAATGGAAGAAAATTTGAAAAATCGAGGTCGAAAAATCGAAATATTGATTAATCCAGGAATTTAAAAATTGAAAAATTGGAGATTTGAAAAATTGAAAATGGTGGTATTGAAACATCGGAAAATTGAAAAATTGAGAAATGAAGAAATCGAATCGAAAATATGAAGAATCGAAAAACTGAAAAATTTCAACACTAAATTATCGGAAAATTGAAAATCGGGAAATTTAAATTGGATAAATTATGATTAACAATCAAAGCATTCCATTTTGCAATTTCAAAGTTAAATTAAGGTAAAAACTCAACACAGATTTATAAACCACAAATGAAAGAGTGGGTTATTTTATAAAATTTAAATAACATTTACTCCTCTAATATTTGGAGATGACGTCATTCTATTGTTGATAGGGATGAGCAGACAAATTTTGTTTAGCGTTTTACTATCTGCATGCACGAATTTGACAACAATCGGTCCTGTAGTTTCGGAGATTATTGGTGTAATCATTTTAACATTTCCGGTTAGACGGCAGACAGGCAGACGGAAACGGGAGACCTATTTTGTCGTACTCTCGAAGTACTGAAACGTCCAGAAAGTATGAAAGTAATTAGTCGCCCGATGGGCTTGATTACAATACTTCCTGAGCTTAAGCAAATTTAAAATTATTTCTACTTATAGAGGGTGTTTCAGGCAATTTATTTAGTTAGTAACTGTATCTATATATATTTTCGCCTCTTAAAATTCTTTGTAAGGGATGGTAAAATATAATAAAAAATTTGATGCCCACATTTTTGATTTTTTTAAACCTTGAAGAAATTATTCTTTGTCTGCAAAATCTTTTCCTTACTTCTTACTTCTACGAAATGTAAAATATTAATAATTCAACAGATTTATACAAAGTGATTAAACTTATTTATCATCGGTTTTCACAGTCTTTATTTATATCCTATTTATTTAACTAAGCTTTCTTTTTATACAGAATCTATTACGATTGGTCCCGATGTTTTCGTGTTAAGCTGGTGACTCAAATAAATATGTTTCGTTGAAATAATTATGTGTTTCGGTTAAAATACTGTATAATTTTTAAAAGTCTGTCACCGCAAGGTCACAAAACATTTGCTGAAGTTATGCAATTCCATTTTGAAAAATAGCTGCTTGGTAAATTTTTAAGTAGGGTAATTTAATTTAGATAACACTACTTATTATTTAAAAAATCGTTAGTCGTAAAACATTTTAACGAATATATATTTTTTATCTTCTCGACGGAGTTCTTGGCTTCTGTTTAACAACTTATTATTCGCATAAATAACATGTCGAAAAGAAGCATTTTCCGTACTAGGTTTACAGAGTGTACAGTCATGAAAAGTAGACTTTATTTTAATTGTGAAAGTTTTCTCTTTTAAAATTATTACACTAAAGAAAATGTATTATCATTATGTGATTCATTTTCCGTTATTCTATTAGAATAATCATTGTTTTAGTCGTAATTACACTTTGATGAGAATGTGATGGGTTTACCCGATCTGAGGTTTCTGAAAGAGAAAACCCGGAAATGAGTGTTTTTCTTTGCGAAACATATATGTTTAAGAGCACAGTAACATGATAATGGTGAAGCAAATGCGAAAGTTTATCATCAACAATTTTCGACACTAACTGTCGTGTACAAAGAAAAGTACCATGAATTTGCAGTTTTAGTCTATGCATCACTTTGACGTTTTCTAGGGAAAATTTGTTATCACGAGTTGATTTCTCACTGTAACTTCAACTGTAATTAAGTTCTGCAGAAATATTTGCCACCATTTAGAACCGTTACTTAATACGTTAGTTTGGAAACTAACTACTTAAAATCGAAAATACTCTTCTGTCATACCACAATTACCACAAAGCAGTAATTGAAATTGGAATTCTTCCTCGATTTACTCGAGATTTTTTCTTTACTCGTTAGCGGTGCGCTACTACTAGGTTGTTTAATTCTGGTAAGACGTAATCTACTTTAGATTTTGTTTTATATTGGTTTGTTTTAGCGCAATCGAGAATTCGTTTTCGCCCATATTATCATCAACCTTACTTTTATGGTTATGGTCATAGTTACAGTTGGTATGGTTGTTCAAATTGTTTTTGAATCTAGCGTAGATGAGACAAGGCGAGCTATTCTTTATGGGTGGATTGTTTTCGAAGCTTGCTTCGAATATTCCGTGTAATTGTATTATAAAAGGATGGACAACAAAGTAATGTATGATCTCCTCGTGTAAAAGTAGTTTTTTATGAAGGTCTAAAGTAAATTGTTGTGGGATATAAATAAAACTAAACAGATACTAAATTTTTTAACGTTAGCTGTGCAGGCCAAAAACAAAGTTGTTGTTCGTTGACTACATATAACGATACCCGTGATGTGAAAAATCATTAAGATGCTCTCCGCCTAATATTTTCCTTTATCCATTTTATGTAGTGTGGTACGTAAACATAAATCCCAGGCCATCCTCGTTTTCCACAACCTATACCAAGACTAACAATTCCGGCAGCGTACCATCTCATATCATTGTCACGAATCATCAACGGTCCTCCCGAATCGCCTTGACACGCGTCCATTCCTTCCACCCCACCGGCGCAAATCTGTCTTTCTGTTAGTTGCAACCTAGTGGTATTGTATTTGTTCGCACATTGCTCCCAAGTAAAATATGGAATGGCAATCTTAAGCTTGACTCCACTAAGCGCCCCTAGAACATCTACTTAGTTAAAATTTCTGGATCTTGATGACACCAACCTGATTCTGTTTTACCCCAGCCAGCAACGAAGTACTCCGACATTGTTTTTTTACGATTTTCTAGTAAGCAAATCGGTAATATGTAATCCGTAAACTTTACTTTATCCCGCAAAAAGACCAACCCGATGTCGTTGTCGTGATTTCTGGATCTTTTATCATACTGTGGATGAACAATAGAACTCGAAACCACCACAGTTCTTTTGTTCAGCAAACACTCGTCTGCGTCGGAGTCACATGTGGTTCCGTGTTCTCCGAGAGAAACGGCGTGTCTGGAAAAGTTTGTTAGAAAAGTGCCACCGCGTCGACCACACCTACAGCTCTCCTATGGCCACTAGAACGTCTGACGTCAAGCAATGCGCTGCAGTCATCACCACTCTTGACGAGATAAGAGAACCGGAACAGCTGAAGATCATATCTCCTTGACTGTCTCTTCTAAGCAGTCTGCTCAACCAAGGAAATTCTTTTCTGGAAGCTGGTTCTCCACCAAGCATTCTTAATTCGACGTCCTGAATACCACAACCTTCAGAAATGTCATTCGCTGGAGTGGTCTGAGGTGTTTGAGTAGTTCTGGTCCGAGGGGGTCTGATGATTTCATCAGCTGGGGATAGTATTTCAGTTTCGAAATTTATCTCCTGGTTCCGTCTGGAGGTTACTGTTTTTTGAGTACGTCTTCGACCTGTCAGTAATGCTTCTACTGATATGTAGTATTTTTCGCAGCAAACGTAGGGGTGTTTCGTGTTTTCGGTACGAGGACCACATCTTCTAGCTCGTAGTGAGGTAGCATTCATTTCGTACATTAGGACCAAACAGTTGCGGATTGAGACGCAGTAGGCTTCGGTCGGTAGGGTTTGGTTGCATTCTGGTGTATCTATTGCTGGAAAAAATAAATACACCTTAGAAATACATGTTTTTTAATATAATAGGACGACTTATATGCTGGTACTATGTATTGGTTAAAATCTATTACTTACATCTGTTGATTATGTCATGTATTGTTTCTCGGGTGGTAGTCGCAAAATCACATTTTTGTATAAAAACAGCTATAGCAATTGCTAAAATAAAAGTGTGTAAGCTTGTCCACTTCACTCTCATTGTGTAGTGTTTAGCGTCTCGTTATTTACTACTTGTAATATAACAAGCTTGACCTTTGACCTTGGCGATGGCGTAAGGTTATATTAAGAAAAACGAGTTGATTTAAAACGAAATATATTTCAAGAAATTTAGTCAGACGTATTTCCCTTCGTTCAAAATAGTTAACGCCGTTATAGCGAATTTTATTACCGTCGTTTAGTGACGACACTATAATGTTGTACCTGCGACAACAAATCTAACACAATAATTTATATGCCTACATACTGACCACACTTTATGTACGTACATTCTCATCTTTACAAAAAAAAAATTGGTCTAAAGAGTTTAGACAGTACTTCCCTCGCTGTCGGAAACTTGGCGACTGCATGCCTATTGTGTTTTTTTTTCACATTACATTTTTGTAGTGGGAATTTAAAAAAAAATTGTGATGACGTCATCAACATTTTTGCAAGGACACGTATATCAGTTGGGATAGATGTAGTGTAATACTAAGAATAAAATTATTGTATTCCCAAATTTTCGGGAAAATGAATTGGGTCGTTTTGAATATTGATTTCTTATAATCAATAAAATAACGAAACAATTTACTCAGGTATACGGCGCCGGTGTGTAATATCTAGAGAGCGGATTTCTGTCGGGCTAGGCAAGGCCAAACTCGGTACGGCTCGTACGGGATGCGAATTTATTGCGATTGCGGACTGCACTTCGTTTATTTGAGATTAGAATAAAGCTGTTTCGTTGCACTCTGCTGTTAATTCCCGTTCTCATTTACTTAGCCGTTTGATTAATAAATCGTTAATTATATTTATGGAATTAGCACCGATTAAACGTGACGTAGCCCGACAAAAATCCGCTGTCTGGTAATATGAAAGGCAACTGAAAATCGTTTATGTATAAACATTCTTAATTTAAGATGACAAGCGTAACAGCATACGTGAGAGTCAAACAGAGAAACTGTAAACAAAACGACCATCGGTTTTATTGCTTCGACTTCCGCTTATTATATAAAACATTGGGTTTTATTTTAATTCTTGACGGTGAAATTCACAATTGGTTGATTATAAACATGTCTATTCCACATTCGCGGAACCAAGTGAGCGCATAAAACAAATGCAGGTCTGTAATGTTAAACTCGATGTAAATAAGCGTGCTACCCTTATGTTTCAACCGAGTTTTTCCTTTAACAAATTTTGTGTCTACCAAATTGGGTTGGTTGGGGTGTAATACTAATAATAAGTGTTGCCTTTAATTTAATCAATAAAATAAATTGACTTCATTAATTTTTTTGAACCACCCCTTAAGAAAATCTAAAAAATATGAATGGAATGATATATCACAAGTACAAACTCATCATATTTTTTGCATTTTAGATAGGATTTATTCAGCAAAATTTAAGGGTGACGTCGTCAATTTTTTTAGGAGGGATGAACAAATACATTTTGAACAAAAGTTTACCATGCTTATAATAACTTTAAAATATTCCCAAGATTTCAAAGCATTCGGTTTTGTAATTCCTGATTAAATCGATAAAATAAATTCACGCCTTCATTAATTTTTTTGAGTCACCCTGCATATGCAAATCCAAAAATATGAATGGAATGATAAATCACAAGTACAGACTCATCATATTTTGTACATTTTAGATACGATTTATTCGGCAAACTTTTGAGCTGACGTCATCAGTTTTTTGTAGAAGATAACCAAATATATTTTGACTAAAAATTTATTATGCTCTCTATATCCTTAAAACATCTGCAAGATTTCAAAGCATTCGGTTTTGTAGTTCCCGATTAAATCAATAAAATAAATTTACGCATTCATTAATTTTTTTGAGTCACCCTGTATATGCAAATCGAAAAAAATTGAATGGAATGATAAATCACAAGAAGAGACTCACCATATTTTGTACATTTTAGATAGGATTTATTCAGCAAAATTTTGTGGTGACGTCATAAATTTTTTAGGGGGGACGACCAAATTCATTTTGATCAAAAATTTACCATGCTTATGATAATTTTAAAATATCTTCAAGATTTCGAAGCATTCGGTTTTGTAGTTCCTGAGTAAATCAGTAAAATAAATTTACGCTTTCATTTATTTTCTTGAATCACCCTGTATATGCAAATCCAAAAAATATGAATGGAGTGATAGATCACAAGTACAGACTGATCATATTTTGTACATTTTAGATATGATTTATTCGGCAAATTTTCGAGCTGACGTCATCAAGTTTTTGGAGGGGATAAGCAAATATATTTTGACTAAACATTTATTATGCTCTTTATAACCTTAAAACATCTGCAAGATGTCAGAGCATTCCGTTTTGTAGTTCCTGATTAAATCAATAAAATATATTTACGCATTCATTAATTTTTTTGAGTCACTCTGTATATGCAAATCCAAAAAATATGAATGGAATGATAAATGACAAGTACAGACTCATCATATTATGTACATTTTAGATATGATTTATTCCACAAACTTTTGAGCTGACGTCATCAAGTTTTTGGAGGGGATAAGCAAATATTTTTTGAGTAAAAATTTATTATGCTCTTTATAGCCTTAAAACATCTGCAATATTTCAAAGCATTCTGGTTAGCAGATTAAAAATTAAATTTCAAAATGTTGTTTTATAATTTTGATTTTTTTTCCAAAAATCTGGACGTTTCGGGTGAAAAGTCGATTCAGAGTTGTAAACTACATGTGTAGGACTATGTTGTTTTATACAATTGAAAACCCATTTACTATGTACAATTTTGAAGTGACGTCATCGCATTACTGGTGGGGATGATTAGACAAATTTTGGTTAGCGTTTTACGATCTACATGATATTCTTAATATAAGTACAAAATTTCACAACAATCTGTCGAGTACTTTCGGAGATTATCTGTCTAATAAAAATCCGGGACGGCAGACGGACGGACAGACGGACGGACAGACGGACAGACGGACAGACGGACAGACGGACAGACAGACGGAAATGGGAGACCTATTTCTTCGTCTTCTAGGGGTCATGAAAGATCGAGAAAACGTAAAAGTAGAGAGTCGGCCGACGGACTCGATTACAATACTTCCTTTGCTTACGCTCGGGAAGTAAAAACAATGTTTAACTTTGATCTTCTCGTTTTGATACTTCAACATCGAGCTTTTTATCCAACCGTTGTAGCTCGTGATGTTGGTGTAAATCGCAGACCAGCCTTCTCTACCACATCCCATTCCATAGCTGACAACCCCAGCGGCAAACCAATGGTTCCGATTGACACTAACATCAAAGACCCACCAGAATCGCCAATGCAACTATGTTTATTTCGCTGCCCTCCGGCACACAGTTGTTTGTCGATAACTTTGACGTGAAGTTTGCTCTACTTCTTTGTGTAATATTCATTTATATTAGTCACACGTTTTGTTAAAATTAGACTTTCATTAAGATTTTCGGTAAGTGGTTCCTCAATACCTGTTTCAGTGCTGCCTCATCCAGGAGGCTAATATTCGAAGTCCAGCCTCTCGAGCAGGCAAATATATAGGAAATACGTACGACGTGAACTTGACACCTTTTTTAGTTGGGTCAAACCGATATCGGGGTTGCGATGTCTAGACGTCAGTTGTAGGACTCTCGAGTATTTGGACCTGTCAATTTTTGAACAATTTTTGTTTTGGCATTGTGTTCACTTAAGTGATTTCTGATGAGTCACCAGTGATCCTAATAGGAAACCCATAGGCGTCGTACCGAGGCGGACAATGGATTACTTCGTAATATCAAGAAACCTTAACATGCGATTATTTTGTTCTGTTTTGACGCAATGGAGAATTTGCTTTCGCCTATATTGTCGTCAACGTTACTTCTATGGTTATAGTTATAGTCAGTATGGTTCTTCAAATTGTTTTTACTTCCCGAGCGTAAGCAAAGGAAGTATTGTAATCGAGTCCGTCGGCCGACTCTCTACTTTTACGTTTTCTCGATCTTTCATGACCCCTAGAAGACGAAGAAATAGGTCTCCCATTTCCGTTTGTCTGTCCGTCTGTTGTCCCGGATTTTTATTAGACAGATAATCTCCGAAAGTACTCGACCGATTGTTGTGAAATTTTGTACTTATATTAAGAACATCATGTAGATGGTAAAACGCTAACCAAAATTTGTCTAATCATCCCCACCACTAATGCGATGACGTCACTTCAAAATTGTACATAGTAAATGGGTTTTCAATTGTATAAAATAACATAGTCCTACACATGTAGTTTACAACTCTGAATCGACTTTTCACCCGAAACGTCCAGATTTTTGGAAAAAAAATCAAAATTATAAAACAACATTTTGAAATTTAATTTTTAATCTGCTAACCAGAATGCTTTGAAATGTTGCAGATGTTTTAAGGCTATAAAGAGCATCATAAATCTTTAGTCAAAAAATATTTGCTTATCCCCTCCAAAAACTTGATGACGTCAGCTCAAAAGTTTGTGGAATAAATCATATCTAAAATGTACAAAATATGATGAGCCTGTACTTGTCATTTATCACTCCATTCATATTTTTTGGATTTGCATATACAGAGTGACTCAAAAAAATTAATGAATGCGTAAATATATTTTATTGATTTAATCAGGAACTACAAAACGGAATGCTCTGACATCTTGCAGATGTGTTAAGGTTATAAAGGGCATAATAAATGTTTAGTCAAAATATATTTGCTTATCCCCTCCAAAAACTTGATGACGTCAGCTCGAAAATTTGCCGAATAAATCATATCTAAAATGTACAAAATATGATCAGTCTGTACTTGTGATCTATCACTCCATTCATATTTTTTGGATTTGCATATACAGGGTGATTCAAGAAAATAAATGAAAGCGTAAATTTATTTTACTGATTTACTCAGGAACTACAAAACCGAATGCTTCGAAATCTTGAAGACATTTTAAAATTATCATAAGCATGGTAAATTTTTGATCAAAACGTATTTGGTCGTCCCCCCTAAAAAATTTATGATGTCACCACAAAATTTAGCTGAAAAAATCCTATCTAAAATGTACAAAATATGGTGAGTCTCTTCTTGTGATTTATCATTCCATTCAAATTTTTTCGATTTGCATATACAGGGTGACTCAAAAAAATTAATGAATGCAGAAATTTATTTTATTGATTTAATCAGGAACTACAAAACCGAATGCTTTGAAATCTTGCAGATGTTTTAAGGTTATAAAGAGCATAATAAATTTTTAGTCAAAATATATTTGGTTATCTTCTACAAAAAACTGATGACGTCAGCTCAAAAGTTTGCCGAATAAATCGTATCTAAAATGTACAAAATATGATGAGTCTGTACTTGTGATTTATCATTCCATTCATATTTTTGGATTTGCATATGCAGGGTGACTCAAAAAAATTAATGAAGGCGTGAATTTATTTTATCGATTTAATCAGGAATTAGAAAACCGAATGCTTTGAAATCTTGGGAATATTTTAAAGTTATTATAAGCATGGTAAACTTTTGTTCAAAATGTATTTGTTCATCCCTCCTAAAAAAATTGATGACGTCACCCTTAAATTTTGCTGAATAAATCCTATCTAAAATGCAAAAAATTTGATGAGTTTGTACTTGTGATTTATCATTCCATTCATATTTTTTAGATTTTCTTAAGAGGTGGTTCAAAAAAATTAATGAAGTCAATTTATTTTATTGATTAAATTAAAGGCAACACTTATTATTAGTATTACACCCCAACCAACCCAATTTGGTAGACACAAAATTTGTTAAAGGAAAAACTCGATTGAAACATAAGGGTAGCACGCTTATTTACATCGACTTTAACATTACAGACCTGCATTTGTTTTATGCGTTCACTTGATTCCGCGAATGTGAAATAGACATGTTTATAATCAACCAATTGTGAATTTCACCGTCAAGAATTAAAATAAAACCCAATGTTTTATATAATAAGCAGAAGTCGAAGCAATAAAACCGACGGTCGTTTTGTTTACAGTTTCTGTGTTTGGCTCTCACGTATGCTGTTACGCCTGTCATCTTAAATTAACAATGTTTATACATTCACGATTTTCAGTTGCCTCTGATACGTAGGTATACGTGAGTAAATTGTTTCGTTATTTTATTGATTATTACAAATCAATATTCAAACGACCCAATTCATTTTCCCGAAAATTTGAGAATATAATAATTTTATTCTTAGTATTACACTACATCTATCCCAACTGATATACGTGTCCTTGCAAAAATGTTGATGACGTCATCGCAATTTTTTTTTAAATTCCCACTACAAAAATGTAATGAGAAAAAAAACACAATAGGCATGCAGTCGTCAAGTTTCCGACAGCGAGGGAAGTACTGTCTAAACTCTTTAGACCAATTTTTTAATCTAGCGTAGATGTGACAATGCGGGCTATTCTTTATGGGTGGATTATTTTCCAAGCTTGCTTTGAATATAACGTGTACCTTATTATAAAAATATGTACAAAAAACTAGTCTAATGATCTCCTTCCTTGTGTAAAAATAGTTTGTTTTTTTTTTTGTAATATAAAGGTGTAAGGTAAATTGGTGTGGAATATTTTTATAAAAATTAAAACAAATTTCGATGAAAGATGAATGTTTATTGTTCTAGCACGTTTAGTTTTACCGTATACTGATATTTTCTCACTACTGATATCCTTAAAACCAAACAGATATTAAATATGTTTACAAAACTTACGTACGAAATCAAGCCAAAAACAAAGTTGTTGTTCACTGACTACATACAACGTTTCAAAGATATCAGTGACGTGAAAAATCATTTAGATACTCTCCGCCTAATATTTTCCTTTATCCAGTTCGTATAGTGCGGTACGAATACATAAATCCCAGGCCATCCTTTTTTTCCACAACCTATGCCAAGACTAACAATTCCGGCAGCATACCATCTCATACCATTTTTACGAATCATCAATGGTCCTCCCGAATCGCCTTGACAAGCGTCCATTCCTTCCACACCACCGGCACAAATTTGTCTTTCTGTTAGTTGCAACCTAGTGGTATTGTATTTTTTCGCACATTGCTCCCAAGTAAAATACGGAATGGCAATCTTAAGCTTGACTCCGCTAACTCCCCCTGAGAACATCTACTTAGTTAAAATTTCTCGATCTTGACGACACCAACCTGATTCTGTTCTACCCCATCCGGCAACGAAGTACTCCGCCATTGTTTTTTCGCGATTTTCTAGTAAGCAAATCGGTAATATGTAGTCTGTAAACTTTACTTTATCCCGCAAAAAGACCAACCCGATATCGTTGTCGTGATTTCTGGATCTTTTATCATACTGTTGATGGACAATAAAACTCGAGACAATCACAGTTCTTTTGTTCAGCAAACACTCGTCTGCGTCGGGGTCACATGTGGTTTCGTGTTCTCCAAGAGAGACGGCGTATCTGGAAAAGTTTGTTACAAAAATAGCACCGCGTCGACCTTACCTACAGCTCTCCTATGGCCACTAGAGCGTCTGACGTCAAGCAATGTGCTGCAGTCATCACCACTTTTGACGTGATAAGAGAACCCGAGCAGCTGAAGATCATTTCTCCTTGACTGTCTCTTCTAAGCAGTCTGGCCAACCAAGGAAATTCTTTTCTGGTTGCTGGCTCTCCACCGACTATTCTTGAATCGATGTTTTGAATGCCACAGCCTTCAGAAATGTCATTTGCTGGAGTGGTCTGAGGTGTTCTAGTAGTTGTGATTTGAGGAGGTCTGATACTCTCTGTTCTTTTTGGAGATGCATCGAGGATTTCATCAGCTGGAGAGAGTTTTTCAGTTTCGAAACTTATCTCCTGGTCTGGTCTGGAGGTTACTGTTTTTTGAGTAGGTCTTGGACCTGTCAGTAATGCTTCGATTGATATGTAGTATTTTTCGCAGCAAACGTAGGGGTTTTTCGTGTTTTCAATACGAGGACCACATCTTCTAGATCGTAGTGAGGTGTCATTCATTAAGTAAAATAAGGTCAAGCAGTTGCGGATTGGGACGCAGTAGGCTTCGGTCGGTAGGGTCAGGTTGCATTCTGTTGTATCTATTGCTGGAAAAAAAATACATTTTATAAAAATACATGTTTTTTAGATAACAGGACGGCTTATATGCTAGTACTATGTTTTCAGTAAAATATACTCCCATTACTTACAACTGTTGATTATTTCACGTATTGTTTCTCTGGTGGTAATCGCAAAATCACATTTTTTAATAAAAACAGCTATAGCAATTGCTAATATGTAAGCATGTAAGCTTGTCCACTTCACTCTCATTGTGCAGTGTTTAGCGTTTCGTTATTTACTGGCTGTAATATAACAAGCTTGACCTTTGACCTTTACGATATCGTAAGGTCATATTAAGAGAAACGAGTTTTTAGGAACGAAATATATTGCAAGAAATTTAGTCAGACGTATTTCCCCTCACTCAAAATAAATAACGTCGTTATCGGAAACTTTATTACCGTCGTTTAGTGACGACAATATAATGTTGTACCTGTGACAACAAATCTGCCTACATATTGACCACACTTTATGTACGTACATTCGCATCTTTACAAAACAGAATATTTAACTTTGAACTTCTCCTTTTGATTTTGATACTTCAACATCGTGCTTTTTATCCAACCGTTGTAGCTCATGATATTGGTATAAATCGCAGGCCAGCCTTCTTTACCACATCTCCTTCCGTAACTGAGAACCCCAGCGGCAAACCAGCGGCTCCCGTTGACCACCAACATCAAAGGTCCACCAGAATCTCCAGCACAACTATCTTTATTTCTCTGCCCTCCAGCACACAGTTGTTTGTCGATAATTTTCATTGGAACTTTAAGTTTGCTGTACTTCTTTGTACAATTGTGATGTGGGTACGGCGGAATGGACACCTTCATCTTTATTGAGGTCTCGTTTTCTTAAAATTACACTTTCATTAACATCTTCGGTAACTGGTTTCTAAATACCTGTTTTAGTCTTGCCCCATCCGCTCAGCCAATACTCGAAGGGCTCAAAATCCAGCTTGTCGATGAGGCAAATCGGGGATACGTACAACGTCATCTTGACACGTTTCCTCAGGTAGATCAAACCGATATCGTGGTGGTGGTCTTCAGACGTCATGTTGTAAGACGGATGGGGGATGGTCTCATTAACTCTCAGTATCTTGACCTTGTCGGCACAAGTCGCGTTTTTCTCGATGCAGTCAACTTTTGTTTTCGTGTTGTGTTCGCCCAGGTGGACCTCAAACCTACAATCGTAAATCAAGTCGATATACAAAACGAAGTGATAAACCTACACTGGTCCCAAATCCTCTGATTCGAGACAGTGTGCTGCCGTCAATACAAATTTCGACGATATCAGAAAACCGGAACATCCGAATATCTTGTTGCTGGCGTTGTTTTTGTACATCAGTCTTGCCAACCAAGGGAATTCGCCCAACTTGGCTGGCTCGCCGCCCATAAGTCGTCCTTTGATTGTGACGTTTTGGATACCGCAGGATTTGGGAAGCGGATTTTTCTCTGCCAAAATAAGCGAATGTAGATGTTGGAAATGGAGGACTAGTTTATGTTGAAGATGTTTTCGTTAGTTCATGATTTTATCTGCGATGATTCTGAATCTCTAGACGATGGAGCTACGAAGACCTACGGTGAATATTCACGCCTCATCTCTTAAGTTTCAGTTGGTACAGTTACACATTTGTCGGAATATAACGAGGCCTTACTTACTGCCAAATTTTGGAATAGATTTCCTATTTCTGGATTCTTAAGCTCTATTTTGAAGAGGGAAATATTCATTTTTTTAGTGTTTCTAAAGCCACACGTAGTTTTGAAACTAACGTTTAACTTCTTATAGGTCTCCCGCTTCCGTCTGTCAGTCTGTCTGCCGTCTGTCTGGATTTTTATTAAAGTGATAATATCCGAAAGTACTGGACCGGCTGAAATTTTATGTGTATTAGAATTATCAACAATATAACGACATCATATCCCAAATTTACATTGGTAAATATTATTTGAACTTTATAACAAACCTAGTGCCCTGAAATCATGAACGCTTTAAGGTCGTAGGAAGAATTTTTCGATTTGTCGAACATTTGATTCATCGAATTTTTGATTTTCTATTCTCGACTTTTAGATCGCTGGAGATTTTTTCGATTTTTGGAATTTCCGAATTTTCGACTTTCTAATTTTTAGAATTTTTGTTATTTTCATTTTCGATTTTTCGTAATTCGAATTTTCAATTTTTTTAATTTCGATTTCTTGATTTTCCAATTTTTCGAATTTTTGATTTTTCAGTTTTTCGATGTTTACATTTTCGAATTTTCTGATTTCTCAATTTTTTAATTCTTCCATTTTCCAAATTTTCTTTCTTTCGAATTTTCCATTTTTCGATTTTTTAATTTCTCGAATTTTCGATTTTCGATGCTCGATTTTTTTTTGTTTTTTGTTTTTTTTTTGTTCCTCAAATTTTCATTACTTCGAATTTTCAATTTTTTTGATTTTCCGACTTTTCGAATTTTCGATTTTTTCTGTTTTTCGATTCTTCCATTTTTCTTCGATTTTCCAATTTTTCAATGGTTCTATAGTGAATCTTTCGGTTACTCAATTTTTCCATGTTCCATTTTTGTGAATTTCCTAATTTTCTAGTTCTCGATTAATCGATTTTTTGATTTTTCCACTTTCCGATATCCTGATTTTTCGACTTCTCGACTATTCGACTTTTAGATTTTTCGATGTTTTGATTTTCACATTTTTTGATTCCTCGATTTTCCAATTTTCAGTTTTACAATTCTTCAATTTTTAGATTTTTTGGTTTTTCGATTTTTCAATTTTTCGAAATTTTTGGACCTTTCGATTTATCGATTTTTCAATTTTTCCATATCTCAGTTTCAAGATCGGTCGTCCACTTTTCAGTTTTTCGACTTTTATATTTTTGGATTTTTGATTTTTGGGGTTTTTCAATATTTCGATTCTTCAATTTTTTATTTCTGAATTTCCCGATTTCTCGTTTTTTAATTTTTCAGTTTGTCAGTTTTTCAATTTTTTAATTTTTTAGTTGTCTCAATTTTTGGATTTCTCGATTTATCTTGATTTCAATGTTTTGATTATTCAATTTTTCAATGTTTAGATTTTTTTAAATTTAAAATTTTCAATTTTTCAAATTTTAATTGGTTTTAAGCTATTTTGATTTATCGTTTTTTACATTTCTCGATTTTTTTATTTTTCGACTTCTCGACTTTTCGATTTCTCAATCATTTGAAGCTTCGATTTCCCGATGTTTCAATTTCCCAACTGTTCGATGTTTAGATTTTTCGATTTTTCTATTTTCCAATTTTTTCTTTTATTAAATGTTACTTATTTCGATTTTGCAATTTTTCGATTTATAGATTTTTAAGTTTTCAACACTTATATTTTGGAAATTTTTCCATTTCTGTATTTTTCAATTTTTCGATATTTTAGATTTTTCGGTGTGTAGATTTCCCGACTTCTCAACCTTTTGATTTTTCATTTTTTCGATGTTTCAATTTTTCAATATTTCGATATTTGGATTTCCAGGTTATTCGATATTTCGACTTTTCGGCTTTTTGATTTTTCCAATTTTCAATTTATCCATTTTTCGAATTCTCGATTTTTTTATATTCGAAATTTTTTTTATCTTGATTTTTCGATTTTAGAACTTCCGTTTTTCCAAATCTCGGTTTTGGAATTTTTTATTTTTCAGTTTTTCGGATATTCGTTTTTTTGAATATTTGATGCTCGAATTTTCGATTTTTCAATCTTCAAATTTTCAATTTGTTTCCATTCTTCAGCTTTTCCAATTTGCAGTTTTTTTGATTTCTCGGGTTTTCGCGTTTCGACGCTCATTTTCAATCTGTCTACTTTTCGTTTTTTTTTTTTATTTTTGATTTTTCGAATTTTCGATTTCCGATTTCCGCTTGTGGACATACAGAAACCGGTGTCACCATTGGGAGTCACGCAATAAGTTACCATGCCTAATTCAAATTAAATCGAATACTATTTGCTACGTTCAGATAACTCTGTCTAAGTTTGTTCATATTTTAAAGATTCACCGACATGTAAATATGTATCAGACAGAAGTACAGACAGAATCAAGGTTAATTGTGCTGTTTACCTACTTAACTCTATAGTGTTATTTTTTGTAACATCATAAGATTATAAGTCCACAGGTGATGTATCTTTAAAACGTGAACCGACTATGTTGTGAGGCTTACGTTGTCCTATTTCGTCTGTCGTGCCATTTCTTGATTCCCCTGTGGACGTATCTTCAACTAGACAAAAAGAAATCATAATAAAAACGCACATACAAAATCCCGAAACGTCTACTTACGTGATGATGTCATATTTCGTAACGGGTTGGCAGTCGTCGCAGGCAGCATTTCTGTGACATTTTGTCTGACATTTCGTTCGGCTTCCACTATAAACCAAAAGTTGAACACCACGTATATAAGAAACTTTCTTTTCCAGAGCCGCATTCTCTTTCCGTACAACGTAAACAAATCACTGGTCTATTTGATGAAACGCTTCGCCACTCCATAACCTAACTAACCTTTAACATCTGCTATCAACCGCTGACTCCACAATCAAACGCAAGATACGACTTTAGCACAATTCCAGCAACACCATTTACCTTCTTGTTGTGCGGGTGTAAGAAATTACGAGAAAAATAAACCCTTTATCTCTACCACCAAACGGATTTAATCCTTGCGTGGAATCTTTCGCGGTAACTGGGCGCAGCGGGTAAGTGAGCGCAATCCCGGAGAAAGGGGCCCGGAGGTACACTATGAGTTTGGTGCGACTGAAGATGCCCACGCGATACTAGTTATGATTTGTTACTGCGACGCACTACCGTTCATTATTATTATTTTTACTTCCCGAGCGTAAGCAAAGGAAGTATTGTAATCGAGTCCGTCGGCCGACTCTCTACTTTTACGTTTTCTCGATCTTTCATGACCCCTAGAAGACGAAGAAATAGGTCTCCCATTTCCGTCTGTCTGTCCGTCCGTCTGTCCGTCCGTCTGTCCGTCTGTTGTCCCGGATTTTTATTAGACAGATAATCTCCGAAAGTACTCGACCGATTGTTGTGAAATTTTGTACTTATATTAAGAATATCATGTAGATGGTAAAACGCTAACCAAAATTTGTCTAATCATCCCCACCACTAATGCGATGACGTCACTTCAAAATTGTACATAGTAAATGGGTTTTCAATTGTATAAAATAACATAGTCCTACACATGTAGTTTACAACTCTGAATCGACTTTTCACCCGAAACGTCCAGATTTTTGGAAAAAAAAATCAAAATTATAAAACAACATTTTGAAATTTAATTTTTAATCTGCCAACCAGAATGCTTTGAAATGTTGCAGATGTTTTAAGGCTATAAAGAGCATCATAAACCTTTAGTCAAAAAATATTTGCTTAGCCCCTCCAAAAACTTGATGACGTCAGCTCAAAAGTTTGTGGAATAAATCATATCTAAAATGTACAAAATATGATGAGTCTGTACTTGTGATCTATCACTCCATTCATATTTTTTGGATTTGCATATACAGGGTGACTCAAAAAAATTGATGAATGCGTAAATATATTTTATTGATTTAATCAGGAACTACAAAACCGAATGCTCTGAAATCTTGCAGATGTTTTAAGGTCATAAAGAGCATAATAAATGTTTAGTCAAAATATATTTGCTTATCCCCTCCAAAAACTTGATGACGTCAGCTCGAAAGTTTGCCGAATAAATCATATCTAAAATGTACAAAATATGATGAGCCTGTACTTGTCATTTATCACTCCATTCATATTTTTTGGATTTGCATATACAGAGTGACTCAAAAAAATTAATGAATGCGTAAATATATTTTATTGATTTAATCAGGAACTACAAAACGGAATGCTCTGACATCTTGCACATGTTTTGAGGTTATAAAGAGCATAATAAATGTTTAGTCAAAATATATTTGCTTATCCCCTCCAAAAACTTGATGACGTCAGCTCGAAAATTTGCCGAATAAATCATATCTAAAATGTACAAAATATGATCAGTCTGTACTTGTGATCTATCACTCCATTCATATTTTTTGGATTTGCATATACAGGGTGATTCAAGAAAATAAATGAAAGCGTAAATCTATTTTACTGATTTACTCAGGAACTACAAAACCGAATGCTTCGAAATCTTGAAGATATTTTAAAATTATCATAAGCATGGTAAATTTTTGATCAAAACGTATTTGGTCGCCCCCCTAAAAAAATTATGACGTCACCACAAAATTTTGCTGAATAAATCCTATCTAAAATGTACAAAATATGGTGAGTCTCTTCTTGTGATTTATCATTCCATTCAAATTTTTTCGATTTGCATATACAGGGTGACTCAAAAAAATTAATGAAAGCGTGAATTTATTTTATCGATTTAATCAGGAATTACAAAACCGAATGCTTTGAAATCTTGCAGATGTTTTAAGGTTATAAAGAGCATAATAAATTTTTAGTCAAAATATATTTGTTTATCTTCTACAAAAAACTGATGACGTCAGCTCAAAAGTTTGCCGAATAAATCCTATCTAAAATGTACAAAATATGGTGAGTCTCTTCTTGTGATTTATCATTCCATTCAAATTTTTTCGATTTGCATATACAGGGTGACTCAAAAAAATTAATGAAGGCGTGAATTTATTTTATCGATTTAATCAGGAATTACAAAACCGAATGCTTTGAAATCTTGCAGATGTTTTAAGGTTATAAAGAGCATAATAAATTTTTAGTCAAAATATATTTGTTTATCTTCTACAAAAAACTGATGACGTCAGCTCAAAAGTTTGCCGAATAAATCGTATCTAAAATGTACAAAATATGATGAGTCTGTACTTGTGATTTATCATTCCATTCATATTTTTGGATTTGCATATGCAGGGTGACTCAAAAAAATTAATGAAGGCGTGAATTTATTTTATCGATTTAATCAGGAATTACAAAACCGAATGCTTTGAAATCTTGGGAATATTTTAAAGTTATTATAAGCATGGTAAACTTTTGTTCAAAATGTATTTGTTCATCCCTCCTAAAAAAATTGATGACGTCACCCTTAAATTTTGCTGAATAAATCCTATCTAAAATGCAAAAAATATGATGAGTTTGTACTTGTGATTTATCATTCCATTCATATTTTTTAGATTTTCTTAAGAGGTGGTTCAAAAAAATTAATGAAGTCAATTTATTTTATTGATTAAATTAAAGGCAACACTTATTATTAGTATTACACCCCAACCAACCCAATTTGGTAGACACAAAATTTGTTAAAGGAAAAACTCGGTTGAAACATAAGGGTAGCACGCTTATTTACATCGACTTTAACATTACAGACCTGCATTTGTTTTATGCGTTCACTTGGTTCCGCGAATGTGAAATAGACATGTTTATAATCAACCAATTGTGAATTTCACCGTCAAGAATTAAAATAAAACCCAATGTTTTATATAATAAGCGGAACTCGAAGCAATAAAACCGACGGTCGTTTTGTTTACAGTTTCTCTGTTTGACTCTCACGTATGCTGTTACGCTTGTCATCTTAAATTAAGAATGTTTATACATAAACGATTTTCAATTGCCCCTCATATTACTAGACAGCGAATTTCTGTCGGGCTACGTCACGATTATAGGGGGGGACGTGCTGGATTCCATAAATATAATTAACGATTTATTAATCAAACGGCTAAGTAAATGAGAACGGGAATTAACAGCAGAGTGCAACGAAACAACGTTATTCTAATCTCAAATAAACGAAGTGCAGTCCGCAACGGCAATGAATTCGCATCCCGTGCGAGCCGTACCGAGTTTGGCCTTGCCTAGCCCGACAGAAATCCGCTCTCTAGATATTACACACCGGCGCCGTATACGTGAGTAAATTGTTTCGTTATTTTATTGATTATAAGAAATCAATATTCAAAACGACCCAATTCATTTTCCCGAAAATTTGGGAATACAATCATTTTATTCTTAGTATTATCTATCCCAACTGATATACGTGTCCTTGCAAAAATGTTGATGATTTCATCACAATTTTTTTTTAAATTCCCACTACAAAAATGTAATGAGAAAAAAAAACATAATAGGCATGCAGTCGTCAAGTTTCCGACAGCGAGGGAAGTACTGTCTAAACTCTTAAGACCAATTTTTTTAAATAAAAATAATGTGTGTTTCAGTTAAGTTGTTGGTTTGATTTATAGCCTAATAAATGGTCAAACAAAAATAAATAATTTTATTTTCCTAATTCTCATATTTTATACACAGTATATAACGTCATTATTGGAAACTTTATTACAGTCGTTTAGTGACGACACTACAATGTTTGTACCTACGACAACAAATCTAACACAATAATGTATACGCTTACATACTGACCGCACTTTATGTACGTACATTCGCATCTTTACAAAAAATTAATGCTTAACTTTGATATTCTCGTTTTGACACTTCAACATCGTGCTTTTTATCCAACCACTGTAGCTCGTGATGTTGGTATAAATCGCAGGCCAGTCTTGCCTACCACATCCCATTCCATAACTGACAACCCCAGCGGCAAACCAGTGGGTCCCGTTGACCACCAACATCAAAGGCCCACCAGAATCTCCAGCACAACTATCTTTATTTTTCTTCCCTCCGGCACACAGTTGTTTGTCGATAATTTTGACGTGAAGTTGGCCGTACTTCTTTGTACAATTGTGATGTGGGTATGGCGGAACGGACACCTTCATCTTTACTGGACTTACGTTTTCTTAAAATTGCACTTTCATTACCATTTTCGGTAATTCGTTTCTAAATACCTGTTTCAGTACTGCCCCATCCACTCAACCAATACTCGAAGGGCTCAAATTCCAGCTTGTCGATGAGGCAAATCGGGGATACGTACGACGTCAACTTGACACCTTTCTTCAGATAGATCAAACCGATATCGTGGTGGTGGTGTTTAGACGTCATGCTGTAGGATGGATGGGGGATGATCTCATTAACTCTCAATATCTGGACCTTGTCGGCGCAAGTCGTGTTTTTCGCGTTGCAGTCAATTTTTGTTTTGGTGTTGTGTTCGCCCAGGTGAACCTCAAATCTACAATCGTAAATCAAGCCAGATTTATATACAACAAAGTGATAAACCTACACTGGTCCCAAAAACTGGTTGTTCTCTGACAGGAGACAGTGTGCTGCCGTCAATACAAATTTTGAAGATATCAGAAAACCGGTACATCCGAATATTCTGTTGCCGGCGTTGTTTTTGTGAATCAGTCTTGCCAACCAAGGGAATTCGCCCAACGTAGCTTCCTTGCCGCCCAGAATTCGTGATCTGATTGTGAGGTTTTGGCGACCGCAGGATTTGGGAAACGGACTTTTCTCTGCCAAAATAAGCGATTGTAGATGTTGGAAATGGAGGACTAGTTTATGTTGAAGATGTTTTCGTTAGTTCATGACTTTATCTGTGATGATTCTGAATTTCTCAACGATGGAGCTACGACGACCTACTTAAGTTGTAGTTGGTACAGTTACACATTTGTCGGAGTATAATGAGAACTTAATACTGCCAAACCTTGGAATCGATTTCCTATTTCTGAATTTTTAAACTTTATTTTGAAGAGAAAAATATTCACATCTTTAGTGGTTCTAAAGCCACACAATATGTTTTTAAACTAACGTTTAACTTCTTATAGGTCTCCCACTTCCGTCTGTCTGTCCGTCTGCCGAATGTCCGGTTTTTTATTAAGGAGATAATATCCGAAAGTACTGGACCGGCTGTTATCAAATTTTATGTTTATTAGGATAGGATTATCAACAATATAATGACATCATCTGCGAAATTTACATTAGTAAATATTATTTGACCTTTATAACACACCTAGTGCTCTGAAATCATGAACGCTTTAAGGTCGTAGGAAGAATTTTCGATTTTCTATTCGCAACTTTTAGATCACGGGAGATTTCCTCCAATTTTTTTTTTCAATTTTTGGAATTTCCGATTTCGATTTCTTCATTTTTCCATTTTTCGAATTAGAATGTTCGTTATTTTCATTTTCGATTTTTTTAATTTCGATTTCTTGATTTTTCAATTTTTCTCTTTTTCGACTTTATGATTTTTCGTTTTTAAAATTTTTAATTTTTAAAATTTTTAATTTTTCGACTTCACGATATTTCGTTTTTTGTACATTTTGATTCTAGGATTTTTTCGATTTTTCGAAATCTCGATTTTCGTATCCCCGATTTTTCAATTTTTCAATTGTTCTATTTTTCAAATTTAATTTTTTTCGAATTATCCATTTTTTCGATTTTTTAATTTCTCGAATTTTCGATTTTCGATGCTCGAATTTTCAATCTTTGTACTTTTCGTTGTTCCGATTTTTGATTTTTCTAATTTTCGATTACTCAGTTTTTAGATTTTTAATATTTTTTGTTTTTATGTTCCTCAAATTTTCATTTTTTCAATTATTCAATTTTTTTGGTTTTCAATTTTCAGTGTTTCCATTCTTCAATTTGATTCATCCAATTTTTGATTTTCCGACTTTTCGATTTTTCAATTTTTGAATTTTCGATTATTCGCTTTTTCTATATTTCGTTACATCGATTTTCCAATTTTTCAATGGTTCCATAGTAAATCTTTCGATGACTCAATTTTTCCATATAATCATTTTTGTGAATTTCCAAATTTTCTATTTCTCGATTAATCGATTTTGCGATTTCTCGATTTTCAGTTTTACAATCCTTCAATTTTTCGAGAATTTTCGACTTTTCGATTTCCCAATTTTTCGATATCTCAGTTTCAGGATTTCTGTGTTCTTAGATCTTCGAATTTTCAGTTTTTCGGCTTTTATATTTTTCGATTTATCTATTCATCAATTTTTCGATATTTGAGTTTTGGGATTTTTCAATTTTTCGATTCTTCAATTTTTTGATATTTAAATTTTTAATTTTTAGATTTCTCGATTTCTCGTTTTTTAATTTTTCAGTTTTTCGATTTTTCAATTTTTCGGTTTTTAAATTTTTCTCAAATTTAGATTTCTTGATTTATCTTGGTTTCGATGTTCATTCAATTTTGCAATGTTTAGATTTTTTTAAAACTAACATTTTCAATTTTTCAAATTTTAATTGGTTTTAAGCTATTTTGATTTATCTTTTTTTAGATTTCTCGATTTTTCGATTTCTCCATCATTTGAAACTTCGATTTCCGATGGTTCAATTCCCAGCTGCTCGATGTTTAAATTTTTCGATTTTTCTACATATTTCCAAATTTTTGATGTTTCGATTTTTTACTTTTTTGAATTCCTAATTTTTCTACATTTCACTTTGGATTTTTCCCATTTCCCGATTTCCAATTTTCGATTTTTTAAATTTTACGTTCTTCGATTTCTCGTTTTTCTTTTTACTTTTTATGATTTTCGGTCTTCAATTTTTCTTTTATTAAATGTTACTTTTTTTATTTTTCAATTTTTCGATTTATCGATTTTTCAAGTTTTCGATTTCTCAACTTATAACACTTCAAGTTTGGAAATTTTTCCATTTCTGAATTTTTCAATTTTCCGATTTTTTAATTTTTCCACTTCTTGACTATTCGACTTTTAGATTTTTCAAGGTTTTAATTTTTTCAATTTTTCGAGATTTTTCGACTTTTCGATTTCTCAATTTTTCGATATCTCAGTCAGGATTTCTCTATTTTTCGATCTCCGATTTTTCATTTTTCCGGGTTTTATATTTTTCGATTTATCGATTCATTAATTTTTCGATATTTAAGTTTTGGGATTTTTCAATTTTTTGATATTTAAATTTTTGATTTTTAGATTTATTCGGTTTTTAAATTTTTCAATTTTTCAGTTTTCTCAATTTTTGGATTTCTCGATTTATCTTGATTTCGATGTTTTGATTTTTCAATTTTTCGACTTCTGAACTTTTCGATTACTCGATCATTTGAAGATTCGATTTCCCGATACTTCAATTTCCCAGCTGCTCGATGTTTAGATTTTTCGATTTTTTTTTCCAATTTTTTTATGTTTCGATTTTTCACTTTTTCGATTTCCTAATTTCTTTACATTTCAGTTTTGGTATTTTCCAATTTTCGATTTTTTAAATTTTACATTCTTCGATTTCTCGTTTATCTTTTTACTTTTTAGATTTTCGGTCTTCAATTTTTCTTGTATTAAATGTTACTTTTTCCGATTTTTCAATTTTTTTAATATTTCGGTTTATCGTTTTTTCAAGTTTTCGATTTCTCTACTTTTAAACACTTCAATTTTGGAAATTTTTCCATTTCTGAATTTTTCAATTTTTCGATATTTTAGATTTTTCGGTGTGTAGATTTCTCGACTTCTCAACCTTTTGATCTTCCGTTTTCTCGATGTTTCAATTTTTCAATATTTCGATGTTTGGATTTCCTGGTTTTCCAATTTTCAATTTTTCCATTTTTCGAATTCTTGATTTTTTGATTTTGAATTTTTCGTTGTTTCGAAATCTCGATTTTCGATTTTTTGATTTTTCAGTTTTTCGGATATTCGTATTTTTGAATATTTGATTCTCGAATTTTCGATTTTTCAGTCTTCGAATTTTCAATTTGTTTCTTTTTCGATTTCTCTATTTTTCAATTTTTCGATTCTTCGACGATCATTTTCAATCTTTTCACTTTCCGTTTTTTTGATTTTTGAATTTTCGAATTTTCGATTTTTCAGTGTTAACATTTTTCAGTTTTTAGAATTTTAAATCTTTTTAGTTTTCAGTTTCGCGAATTTTCAATTTTTTTATTTCAATGTCTCCATTTTTCAATTTTTACATTCTTCGACTTTTCAATTTGTCGATTTTAGAATTTTCGATTAGTCGACCTTCGATATTTCGCTCCTTCTATATTTTGTTTCTTGTAATTTTTGAATTTTCAGTTTTTACATTCTTCAGTTTTTCGACTTTTCAATTTTTTTACTTTTCGATTTCTCGAAAGTTCCACTGTTCCAATCTTCAGTTTTTCGAATTTTTGATTTCTTCTGTTCTCGATTTTTCGAATTTTCGATTTGTCGATATTAGAACTTTCAACCTTTTTAGATTTTCCGGAAGATTTGTCTAGTTTTTCTATTTTCGATGTTATTTATGCCAATGGTTTTTACTTTATAGAGGAATTTATTGAGCTTTGTTGTTGTTGTTTCTTGCATCTACTTCTTCGTGCATTCTTTAGATTCAAAAGAAATCATGTCATCTGCATCAAATGGTGAAAAATTGAAGCTACAACTTTACCTAAATATTTATAATTAGAATGTTTTCCGCAGCATACTGAGGGATTGCTAGTATTTTCATGTCTAGGACCACACCGCGATTCGTCCAAAAACGCTTGAGCCTGTGGATTTTGTTGCTGTTTTAACAGTTTTGTGCAGTTCACAAGCGGCATACAGAAACCGGTGTCATCATTTGGAGTCATGCAATAAGTTACCATGCCTAATTCAAATTAAATCGAATACTATTTGCTACATTCAAATAACTCTAAGTTGGTTCATATTTTAAAGATTCACAAACTTGTAAATACATATGTATCAGACGGAAGTACAGACAGAATCAAGGATATATCTTTAAAATGTGAACCGACTCTATACTGTGAGGACTTACGTTCTCTTATTTCGTCTGTCGTGCCATTTCTTGGTTGCCCTGTGGACATATCTTCAACTAGACAAAAAGAAATCATAATAAAAACGCACATAAAAAATCGCGAAACGTCTACTTACGTGATGATGTCAAATTTCGTAACGGGTTGGCAGTTGTCACAGGTAGCATTTCTGTGACATTTTGTGTGACATTTCGTTCGGCTTCCACTATAAACCAAAAGTTGAACACCACGTATATGAGAAAATTTCTTTTCCAGAGCCTCATTCTCTTTCCGTACAACGTAAACAAATCACTGGTCTATTTGTTGAAACGCTTCGCTGCGCCATAACCTAGCTAACCTTTAACATCTACTATCAACCGGTGACTCCACAATCAAACGCAAGATATGACTTTAGCACAATTCCAGCAACACCATTTACCGTCTTGTTGTGCGGGTGTAATGAAATTACGAGAAAAATAAACCCTTTATCTCTACCACCAAACGAGTTTAATCCTCGCGTAATTCCCCTCGCGCAAATAAATAGCCCGGATTTGCAAAAATGCCATATTTCGCCGTTATCAAGGTCATTATCAAAATTACAGCCCCTATTCGCTCTAGGCTTATTTCGCTATCCGTTTCGAATTAGCGAGTTTTTGAATTTGGGTCGGATTTATAACTGCTGCCGGCTTATCGGCGACTGCAATGAATGTCTCGTTATTGCACTCGTTGCATTATTCATCGTCGATCATATTCCGAACCCCAAATTTGCTTTCAATAGGCGATTACGTGCGAATCAAAACCGGCTGACAGTTCCAAGGTTCCAACGATAAACTTCGATTACTTCCTGGTAACGGAAACAAAATTAAGATATTTTATCTCTTTAGCGCACAATGCGAGTGTGCGATCCGAAAGTTTAATTCAGACGTCGATTCAAAAGGAAACGTAATGAAATTAAAGGCGCGCTTTTGATATTGATGAGCCGGGAGGAATTCGCAAATTCGGAGTGGTTTCGCCTTTATGTGCGGCATTTGCATGGGAATCGTCATGGAAGTACAGTTATGTCACCGGAGAGACTGAGTTAATAATTTTACTTCATGAACGGAAACCAAGGAAGTCCACATTGTATTCGAGTCCATTGGGCGACTCGCTACTTTCATGTTTTCTCGTTCGTTATGATTATCACGTAGATGGTAAAACGCTAATCAGAATTTGTCTGATCGTCCTCACCAACAATGGAATGACGTTATTTCACAAATTTACAATAGCAAATGTTATTTAAATTTCCGTGTTGAGTTTATACCTTTGGCTTAAAATTGCAAAATCGAATGCTTTGAAATCGTGCAAACGATAAATCGTTCATCAAAATTTATCCGCTCATGCCACCCTCAGGATGTCATCTTACAGTTTTGTAGAATGTTATTTCAATATTAAAAAGTAACCTAGTCTTGAAATTGTGGTTTCTGAACGTTTATCCTAAACATCAGATTTTTGAAAAAAAAAAAAATCAAAATTGTAGATATAACAATTTTTAGATTTCCCGATTTTTCAACATTCAATTTTCCGATTCTTCAAATTTTCGATTTTTGGATTTCTTAATTTTTGGATTTCCCAGTTTTCCGGTATTTCAGTTTTACGACTCTTCAGTTTTTCGACTCATAAATTTTTTTAATGTTGTATTTTTCGATTCTTCAATTCTTCATTTTTTCGATATTTTAGTTTCTCAAGTTTCAGATTTTTCGGTTTTTTAATTTTTCGAAATTTAAATTTAATTTTTTTTTTCAGTTTTTTGATGGTTCGATTCCTGGATCTTTCGATTTTTCGACTTCCCGATTTTAGATTTTTCAGTTTTTAAACTTTTAGATTTTTTAAATTTTCCATTTTTCAATTTTTCAATATATCTTTTTCTCTATTTATTGAGATTTCGATATTTCAATTTTTTGATTGTTCATTTTTTTTATTTTAAATGGTTCAATTTTTCGATTTTGACCTCTTTTAATTTCTTCATTTTTCGATCCTCGAATTTTCGATTTCTCGATTTCTCGATCTTTTGATGATTCGATTTCTCGGTGCTTCAGTTTTTCGATTTTCCAACTTTTTGGCTTTTCTATCTTCCAATTTTTCGACGTTTCGATTTTTCAATTTTTCGATTTATAGATTTTTTAATTTACATCTTTTCGATTTTGTTTTATCAATTGTTTGATTTTTCGCCTTTTCCACTTTTCGATTTATCGATGTTTTAGTGACTCATTTCTTCAGTTTTTGAAGTTTTGGATGTTTCGATTTTTCGATTTCTCAAGTTTTTCAAATTTTCAATTTTCCGATTTAACAATTTTTCGATATTCGATTTTTCAATTTTTCAATGTCTCAACTTTCGTCATTTCACTTCAGGAATATATATTTCAATCTTCTGATTTTTCAATTTTTGCGATTTTGTAGATTTTTCGGTTTCTCGATTTTCCATTTTTCGCTTTTCGACTTTCCGATTTTTCAACATTCGATTTTTCATTTTTCCAATTTCTTGATTTTCAATTTCAATATTTTGTTTGGACCTTTCAATTTTTCGATTCTTCAAATTCTCGATTTCTTAATTCTTGGATTTCTCATTTTAGCGATGTTTCAGATTTAGGACTCCTCAATTTTTCGACTCATCAATTTTTCGATTTTTCAATTATTCAATTCTCGATATTTCTAAATTTTCAGTTGTTCGATTTCTCACTTTCCCGATTTACAGTTTTTTTAATTTCCTCGTTTCTGGATTTCTCGATTTTGTTTTTTCTTTTTCAGGTTTTTGATTTTTAATTTTTCGATGTTTCAGTTTTTCTATTTCCCAATTTTTCGATATTTCAGTTTTGTGATTTTTCAATTTTTGTATTGTTCAATTTCTCTATTTTTCGATTTCTAGATTTTATTACTTTTTCAATTTTTAAATTTTTAGTATTTTTTTATATTACGATTTCTTAAGTTTTCAATTTTTCGATATTTCAGTTGCTCAATTTTTAAAATTTTAGATTTTTTGAGTGTTTAAGTTTTTTTTCAGTTGTTGATGGTTGGATTCCTCGATCCTTCAATTTTTCAACATCTTGATTTTAGATTTTTCAGTTTTCCAATTTTTCGATTTTAAAAATTTTTGATTTTTTAATTTTTAGATTTCTCGATCTTTTCATGTTTCGATTCCTCAATGCTTCAATTTTTCGATTTTTCAACTTTTTGACTTTTCCGTTTTCCAATTTTTTGATTTATCGATTTTTTAATTTTTAATTTTTCCATTTTCAATTTTTCAATTTTGACCTCTTTTCTCAATCAGTTGTTTGATTTTTCGCCTTCTCCACTTTTCGATTTCTCAATTTCTTGATTTTTTGATGTATAATTTCTTCAGTTTTTGAATTTTTCAACGTTTCGATTTTTCGACTTCTCAGTTTTTCAACTTTTTGATTTTTCGATTTTTCAATTTTTCGTAATTTCACTTCTGGAATTTTTCATTTTTTGCGATTTTGTAGATCTGTCAATTTCTTCATTTTTCTATTTCTCGATTTTTTATTTGTTTGATTTTTCAATTTTTCGATTTTTAAATATTAGATTTTTCAGTTCTTCGAATATATTTCGACTTCTCGATTTTTCAATTTTTCGATATTTTGATTTTCTATTTTAAAATGTTAAATGTTTTCGCCTTTCCGGTTTTGTAGTTTACGGTTTTTCAACTTTTTGAATTTTTAAATTTTAGATTTTTCAGTTTTTTTTTAATGTTTGGTTTTTCATTTTTCAATTTTCGGATGTGTCGATTTTTAGATTTTTCCATTTTCCATCAGTTTTTCATCATTTCAGTTTTAGAATTTCGTATTTTCGATCTTTCATTTTTCGACGTTTCAGTTATTCTTCCATTTTTCGATTCGATTTTCGATTTCTTGATTTCTCAGTTTTTCGATTTTCAACTTTTAGTTTTCAATTTTTCGGTTTTTCAGTTTTTGATTTTTCGATTTAAATTTTATAAAATACGATGCTTTTACACATATGGATGAATTCTTATCCCATATTTTGGAACAAAATCAAAATTATACAATTTTTTGATTCCACAATTTGTCGAATTTTCAAATTTTTCGGCTTTTCGATATTTCAAGTTTTGATTTCTCAATTTTTCGATATTTCAGTTTTAGTATATTTCAGTTTTTGGTTTTCCAATTTTTCAATTTTCAATTTCTGGATTTTTCAAATTTTCGATTTTTCGATTTCCTTATTTTAAGATTTCTCTATTTTCCGATATTTTTCAGTTCTACGATTTTTCAATTTTGTGATTTTTAAACTTTTCGATTTCTCGATTTTTCGACTTCTCGACTTTCGACTTTTGGATTTTTCCATTTTTCAACATTTTGATTTCCTATTTCTCTGTTTCAATTTTCCAGTTGTTCGCTGTTTCGATTTTTCGACTTTTCAACTTTTCGATTTTTCAATTTCTCGATTTTTCAATTTTTCGATTATTCAATTTTTCGATTTTTTAAATGTTAGATTTTTCGATTTCTCGATTTGTCCTTTTTTAATTTTTCAGTTTATAGATTTTTCAATTTTTGGTTTTTCTAAATTTTACATTTTTCGGCTTTTCAATAATTATTTCGATTTTACGATTTTTCAAATTTTTTACTACTACAATTTTTTGTTTTCTCAATTTTTCAAATTTTCAATTTTCGGTTTTTCAATGTTTCAAGTTTTGATTTCACAAATTTTCGATATTTCAGTTTTTTGTTTTTCAATTTTTCAATTTCTTGATTTTCAATTTTTTGCTGATTATTTTGGGGATTTTTCAATTTTTCGATACTTCAATTTCTCGATTTTTAAAATCTTCGATTGATTGATTTTTATTTTCAAATTTTTCGGTTTTCCTATATCTCAGTTTTACGATTTTTCAATTTTTTTATTTTTCGAATTTTCGATTTCTCGATTTTTCGACTTTTTTACTTTTCAACTTTCGAATTTTTAGATTTTTCGATATTTTGATTTTCCCAATTCTCTATTTCTCGATTTTTCGTTGTTTCGGTTTCTCGACTTTTCAATTACTCATTGTTTCGATTTTCAGGTTTTCAATTCTTCAGCTTTTCGATTCTTCAATTTTTCTATCTTTTTCAAATATCCGGTTTTTATACATATCACGCTATTTTTCAGTTTTACCAATTTTTTCTTGTTTCAATTTTTTTTTTTTTTCATTAAAATTTTTCAAATTTTAAGTTTTCAAATTTTCAGTTTTGATCTATTTCGACTTGTCAACTTTTCGATTTCTCGATCTTTTGATGCTTCGATTTTTCAACATTTCGGTTTTGGGAACTTCCCAATTTCTGGATTTTGTCAATTTCTGGATAAGTTAATTTGTCGATTTTTTGACGTTTCGAAGTCGAAATTTTTCGACTTTTCGGTTTTTCAATTTTTTGTTTTCTCAATTTCTTGATTTATCCAAATTCTAATGTTTCAATATTTCGAGTAATCTTTCTAAATTTCTAAAACTTTACAAACAGTGAGTATTAAATGATCCTAAGGTAAGCAAACTTTATTTTCCTTCATCATGTCATAATATAAAACCCATTATAATGTACTCTTTTGAGTAATTTTTAAGGTTCTCTAGGGTGGACTCGACCAGTTTTTTTAAGATTTCTTTCTCGAGCCCTCGTAAACAACCGCATCATGTTCAAAAACCTATTAGTGGATTAGAAAAATGCCAATAAAACAGGCGCACCCGCCCGCTGCACTGATATAAAGCCCCATATTACATTGACTTTACGAGCTCGCAAGCGAGCGCATTAAACCGGGATAGGTATTCGCCCCGCGAACACAGAAAAATCGTAAGACGAGTAATAGTCGCATTTCCCATAACTCGCGTTATTTTCCTCATTAAATATAGCGCTACGGAATGTTAATAACCCAATCAAAACTTCCGCGGTGCTTACGCAACCCTTCCGAGCGATAAAGCCTCGTTGTATTAATTCAAAATAACTTTATCGGCACTTAACAAAATGACGTGGCCTACTTAAGCACCTAAGTTGGTTGTTAACCGCCTCCGAAGCGTATGGGAGTCCCGCCGCCACTCACTCCAGAGTCATAACTTCCCGCCATCCACACACTCCACGCTTTTGTTTGATGGTCGCAGTAAGTGCAGCTTTAAAATCCACCAGACCCCATCCAAGGGGTTAGCCGGACCATAGGGGAGCCCATAGAGGTCCGTCTAGTTGTGTAAGCCGTGGAAGTTTATAGATGGCATAAAATAAATGTAATGCGATAGTAGAGCGCTTCTGAAATTAAAGTAATAAAACGGGATTATATGTAGGTTTTAAAATAAAGGAACGCAAATATTTTGAGGGAGTCGGGAATAAACGGTTTATAGATTTAGGGGTGATTGTACATTTTATGGTCGGCTGTGTGCGTGTGAAGTTGATGATATAATACACGGGGTGGCTCCACAAAATAATGACCGGTTGCTCGTTTCAGAAGCGGAATTTTTGACCCTGATAAAAATGATTGACAGTAAACGTCGGTTTTTCACTACAAAGTTAAATTAGAAATTCCGCAGGGCAGCATCCTGGGCCTGTTATTTTTCGTCTTCCATGTGAATGATATATAATTAATTCTCATATAAATTATCTTATTAGTATTAAAAAAAAAAAATGCATCAACCCGTCGCCGGACGACAGCTTCCCGACCCGTCGTTTCTCTTCCCGCCCCGAAACCGCCGCCGAACCGCGCAACTTCATTAAATTTACGTCAACTCCGCAGCTTAAATTTCCTGCAAAACAAAAAAATAACGTATCGAACATCCACTGGTACAGTTTTTGTTAGTTTCCGTGTGCGGAACGCATTGACTATTGCATGTCAGGATCAGCGGCGATAGCGGAACAGAATGACGTGTAGCAAGCAGGAACGTATTTCCTGCTGTCCGTTGCAGCTCAGCCACTCTGGCCGCCTATTGAGACCGGTCATATCTCTCGACAACCCATTATGTTATACTGCCTCTCAAATGTAAACATTTATTGCTATTCGAAAGGGTCTTTAAGGATATTACGGCGTACGTTTCGCCGGCAAACGTCAGTCGACGCGTCCACCAGACAAGCTCGCAGGACGAGAGCTTTTTCGCATACGTTAGCTCTAATGCCCGGATAAATTGCTAGTATGTTTATTCAATTACTGAAAGTGACGTGTGCTTTCGGCAGACGACGTTATTGCGGAATGCAGATATCGTGCCATTAGGGTTTTTAAGGAGTTATTCAGGGGCAGATGTTCGATTGGGAGGCCAAAAAGGACAACGAGAGATGGGAGTTTATTTAATGGAGTGCCGCTATATGGGCTTTTGACGAGGGAAACTACGAGGTATCCAAATATAAAACATCCGCTTCACATTTTGTTATAAGTTATAACTATTTTTCTCATTGCTTCCATTTAATAACACACTACAATTCAAAAGATTGCAATCATTTTGATTTGAATAACTACATAGTTTACGAAATATTAGTATCCAAAAACTGAAAACACTTTTTCTTTCGACTTTCTGTCGCAGCCTCATTTGACTAAATAAATTCTCGTGTGTACCAGTAAGATATATTTTGTTCTTGATAAACCGCATTCTTCCAGTCCTTGTACCCAGCTAACTACTAACATAATCAAAAGAAATATCTACTTTTTACTTCCCGAGCGTAAGCAAAGGAAGTATTGTAATCGAGTCCGTCGGCCGACTCTCTACTTTTACGTTTTCTCGATCTTTCATGACCCCTAGAAGACGAAGAAATAGGTCTCCCATTTCCGTCTGTCTGTCCGTCTGTCCGTCTGTCCGTCCGTCTGTCCGTCCGTCTGTCCGTCTGTTGTCCCGGATTTTTATTAGACAGATAATCTCCGAAAGTACTCGACCGATTGTTGTGAAATTTTGTACTTATATTAAGAATATCATGTAGATGGTAAAACGCTAACCAAAATTTGTCTAATCATCCCCACCACTAAAGCGATGACGTCACTTCAAAATTGTACATAGTAAATGGGTTTTCAATTGTATAAAATAACATAGTCCTACACATGTAGTTTACAACTCTGAATCGACTTTTCACCCGAAACGTCCAGATTTTTGGAAAAAAAATCAAAATTATAAAACAACATTTTGAAATTTAATTTTTAATCTGCTAACCAGAATGCTTTGAAATGTTGCAGATGTTTTAAGGCTATAAAGAGCATCATAAATCTTTAGTCAAAAAATATTTGCTTATCCCCTCCAAAAACTTGATGACGTCAGCTCAAAAGTTTGTGGAATAAATCATATCTAAAATGTACAAAATATGATGAGCCTGTACTTGTGATCTATCACTCCATTCATATTTTTTGGATTTGCATATACAGGGTGACTCAAAAAAATTAATGAATGCGCAAATATATTTTATTGATTTAATCAGGAACTACAAAACCGAATGCTCTGAAATCTTGCAGATGTTTTAAGGTCATAAAGAGCATAATAAATGTTTAGTCAAAATATATTTGCTTATCCCCTCAAAAACTTGATGACGTCAGCTCGAAAGTTTGCCGAATAAATCATATCTAAAATGTACAAAATATGATGAGCCTGTACTTGTCATTTATCACTCCATTCATATTTTTTGAATTTGCATATACAGAGTGACTCAAAAAAATTAATGAATGCGAAAATATATTTTATTGATTTAATCAGGAACTACAAAACGGAATGCTCTGACATCTTGCAGATGTTTTAAGGTTATAAAGAGCATAATAAATGTTTAGTCAAAATATATTTGCTTATCCCCTCCAAAAACTTGATGACGTCAGCTCGAAAATTTGCCGAATAAATCGTATCTAAAATGTACAAAATATGATGAGTCTGTACTTGTGATCTATCACTCCATTCATATTTTTTGGATTTGCATATACAGGGTGATTCAAGAAAATAAATGAAAGCGTAAATTTATTTTACTGATTTACTCAGGAACTACAAAACCGAATGCTTCGAAATCTTGAAGATATTTTAAAATTATCATAAGCATGCTAAATGTTTGATCAAAATGTATTTGGTCGTCCCCCCTAAAAAATTTATGACGTCACCCCAAAATTTTGCTGAAAAAATGCCATCTTCAATGTGTAAAGTATGATGAGTCCATACTTGTGATTTATCACTGCATTAAAATTTTTAATATTTGCTTATACAGGGTGTCTGAAAAAAAATAATGACGGAGTGAATTGATTTTGCAAAACTGAATACTTAGAAATCTTGACGTTTTGAAGTTACTGTAAGCGTGGTAACTGTTTAATCAAAATGTATCTCTTTATCAACCCCAAAAAAAATTCATTACGTCTTCTCACAATTTTGCTGAATAAAGTATATGATCTGACTATACTTTTAAAATTTTTAATATTTGCTTATACAGGGTGTCTGAAAAAATTAATGACGGAGTGAATTGATTTTGCAAAACTGAATACTTAGAAATCTTGACGTTTTGAAGTTATTGTAAGCATGGTAACTGTTTAATCAAAATGTATCTCTTTATCAACCCCAAAAAAAATTCATTACGTCTTCTCACAATTTTACTGAATAAAGTATATGATCTGACTACACTTGTAACTAATCATTGCATTCAAATTTTTTAACTTGCTTATACAGGGTGACTCAAAAAAAGAAATGAATCAGTCACTTTATTTTAGTGAATAAATCAAGAATTGCTAAACTGAATATTTTGAAATCTTGCAGATGGTTAAAATGATTGTGAGCATGGTAAATTGTTAATGAAAATATATCTGTTTATTCCCCCGAAAAAATTCATGACGTCATCTACAATTTTTGCCAAAAAAGTTTAACTCAAAATGTGCAAAATATGATGAGTTTTAACATAAGCAACTGTGGCCTGTGGTTTAGTGGAGGTGGAGTGTGCAGTGCAATTAGAAGTTCCGGTAACAGATCCCGGCACTTCCAACTTTTTTCGCCCATCAAAACAAGAACAGCACTTCCGATTTTCGCAACAATAATGTTATAATATTTATTTATTTGTTATTGTGTGTTCGTGAATAAGCACCATAAATAGCAAATGTTGAAATTTTTTTTTGTGATCGGAAGAATATCTCTTAATCATTTCATATATATCAAAGGTGACGGTGTGACGGTGTGACGGTGTGTACCGTGAACTGTAAGCTTAAATCAGTAGATTTCTTTACACCCAAAATAAAATTTTGTGTGCACTATAAACATACCATCAAAATGCCTGTTGTATGTAACAAATGCAACAAAAGTGCTAATGATAATGATGTAATAGTGTGCGATCTATGCAAGTCATCAATACACTCAATCTGCGCTGGCCTATCCCGTCAAGAAACCGAATGTGTTCGCCTAAAGAAAAGTAAACTTCGATATTTTTGTGATGAGTGCAACATAGTCGAGATAATCGGAGGATTAAGGGCAGAAGTTGAAAAATTGAGAAGTGAAGTCGCCGAGTTAAAGTACGAAAAAACAGGTAACGTACTTAACAAATTGTTATCAGAAGAAGAAATTATCAGCGAGGTAGATGATAGGCAACGCCGGGCCACCAACTTGATCGTTTATAATTTACCGGAATCAGATGATAAGACCGTAATTAATTCAAAACGGGATGACATTTCTCAGTTTGCTGCACTTGTCTCGTCAGAGGAGTGGAAGAATGAAATTGTTCCTGATAAGTGTTTTCGCTTAGGGAAAAAAGTAGAGAACAAACGTCGTCCACTGTTAATTAATTTCAAGTCTAGTACTGTCGTATTATCGATATTACGTAACTACAAAGCTGCCAATAATATATATATGAATCGCGATTTAACTGCGAGACAAAGAAACATTGCATATTTGGTACGTGAAGAATTTAGGTCACGTAAAGAAAATGGAGAAGGGAACATAAAACTGAAATATACAAATGGAGTGCCAAAAATAGTTAATATTGTTAATAGCAGTATAACTATTGACCCAAAAAATGTTTAAATGTCCAACGTTCAAGAAAAATAGTCCATAGTATGAATTTAATTTATCAGAATGTAAGAGGGCTAAATACAAAAACTGAAACATTTTATAGCAATGTTGTAGACTGCGATAATGAAATAATTGTACTAACTGAAACATGGCTATGTGATGAAGTCTTGTCAAGCGAATATTTTCCACCGAAGTATTGTGTTTACAGGTCTAGCAATGGACGTAGAGGCAGAGGTGTAATAACTGCTATTCGTACAGATTACATATCATATCAGGTCACCAATCATTCGCCTATTAGTGAAGTTGATTTGCTAATTGTAAAAGTAGTACTACGTGATAAAATTCTAAATGTAATAAACGTGTATTTCGCTCCAGAAACTAATTCGCTCATCTATGAGACTATTATTGAACATATTGAGAATATGGTAAACACATCTGAGTTATGGATAATAGTTGGAGATTTCAACATACCCACCTTTGCAGAATATTACTTCAAACCAGAACCATCCACAAATGTCAGACCTGCTTATAATACTCTAGCGACGTTTATGCATTTTAACTCCCTTAAACAACATAACAACATTTTAAACAGTAACTTAAGAATTCTGGATTTAATCATGTCTACAACTGATCTTTACTGCGATGTATCAAGGTATGAATTACCTCTTGTAAAAGAAGATAAACACCATCCCTGTTTACTTACTCATATCTCTATTGCTGATAGCAAAGAAGTACCGTTCAATACTAAGGAGATATATAACAATAATTGTCATCGATATAATTTTCTCAAAGCTGATTTGCCAAACCTGTATTGTGAATTTGGCCGAATAAACTGGAATGACATAACTGAAATCAAAGATGTTAATTGTGCCGTTGATCATCTGAATGGCAAAATGTATAATCTCTTTGATAAATTTGTTCCAAGAGTTAAGGTTCGATCTAGTACTAATTTTCCACGTTGGTTTACATCCGAAATTATTAAAGATATAAAGACGAAAAACAATTACAGACGTTTGTATAAAAAGCACAAATTCTTAGCTTATATGGATAAAGTCAAAAGTCTTAATAGGAAAATAAAGAAAAATATCAGAAAGGAATATGGTAATTTTAAACAATTAGCTCAGGATAGAATAAAAAGTGAACCTAAGCATATTTGGTCGTACATTACAGATAAGAAAAAATCTAGTGGAATACCTGGAAGTATGAAGTATGGTCACAATGAATTCTCAACTCCACAGGATATTGTAGAAGGGTTTGCACAACATTTTAGCAGTGTTTATATTAAGTGTGATGGTACTTGTGATAGTAAGTACAATGGCTGTAATAAATCTGCTAATACTTTCGACCATGTTTGTTGCAACTGTGACAGTGATAATAATTTATTAAATAACGTGTTACATAAATTTATAGTGTCGGAGAAGATGATTACAGAAGCTGCTCGTAGAATCAAACCAAATCTGACTATGGGACCGGACAACGTACCAGCTTTTGTAGTGAAAGACTGCATTACCTGTCTGATCACACCACTGTTGCATATTTTTAATCTCATACTGAAAACAACGAACTTTCCTACGATGTGGAAGATGTCTAAAATTTGTCCCATTTTTAAATCTGGTTGTAAGTCGGATATCGCCAATTACAGACCAATATCAATTATATGTAATTTCGCTAAGTTGTTTGAAACTATACTGTATAATAGTGTATATGCTCATGTAACACCTATGATAAATGATTGTCAACATGGTTTTATCAAGGGAAGGTCCACAACAACCAATTTGTGTGAATTTACACAGTTTGTCTCGGAATCCCTTGAACAAAAATACCAGGTGGATGTTGCGTATACCGACCTGTCAAAAGCATTTGATAAGGTTAATCATTGCCTCTTATTAAAGAAATTACATTTATACGGCTTATGTGACGATTTACTTTTATTGTTTAGGTCCCTTATTGTTGGTAGAATTCAATACATTGAATATAAAGGTTTCAAATCGACCTTATATGAGTCATATAGTGGAATTGCACAAGGATCCAATCTAGGGCCATTGATGTTTATTATATTTATCAATGATATTGTTGACTATTGTAAAATTAATGAAAAAAGTTATCTATACTTATATGCAGATGATCTGAAAATAGCACAAATGATATGTGAACCCAAAGACTGTGAACTACTTCAAAAGATGCTTCACAGCCTTGTTGAATGGTGCAATAAAAATAAGTTGGTACTAAATATCAGCAAGTGCTTTGTAATGATATTTTCACGCAAGATTCAGGATATTAGATTCCAGTATCTCATAGATGGTACTGTATTGGACATTAAATCAGACTGTAGAGATCTAGGTATTGTTATGGATCGTGAACTGTCTTTTGTACCACATATAAATTACATTTGTAACGAATCTTACAAGTTATTAGGATTTATAGTAAGAAACACCAGAGATTTCTATAGTACGGAATGTTTATTAACTGTTTATAATGCGTATGTAAGGTCTAAATTAGAGTATTGCTGTATACTATGGAGACCCTATTATAATACTCATATTATGACACTCGAAAAAGTTCAGAGAAAATTCTGTAAATATTTATTTTACATAAAACATAAATATTACCCATCAATAGGTTATCCACAGTATCAGCTGTTATGTGAATTTAAATTGTCAGACTTGCATGTAAGGCGTCAATTTATTGCAATTATATTTGTATACAAAATAGTCCATGGTATAATCAAATGTTCAAATTTATTAAGCAAAATATCGTTTCATATTCCTCGTTTGAATTCAAGAAATCCGGTCACATTTTATATCGAATTTGCCAGAACTAATATGTATATGTATTCTCCTGTAAATTATATGTGTTCCTCGTATAATGATATCTGCAATAAAGTAGATATATTTGAAAGCAATATGCAGCAGTTTACTAGAAATTGTAAGAAATGCTTGTATGACTAGTCACTATTTCCTTATTATTTTGTTATAATAGTGTGTAGATATTTATGTAATTTTTGTATCCTACTATGGACAACTTGTCCGTTGGATAAATACATTATTATTATTATTATTATTATTATTATATATTGTCAATACATGATTAACTTCGACTGTTAATGTTTATACATCGAGAGAAGCAGAGAAAAAGTACATATGCATTTGCTTCAGTTACGCCACTGACCGTGTCATTTCTTTATCGCACGTTGAGACATAGTTTATATAAACAAACTCCCAGCCATAGCAAAAAGCGGAAGTTGGTAACGACGAGGGGCGCGGGGGGAATCACTTGTTTGGGTGGCGAGACGAAACAGTTGCGATTGCGAAATGCGAAGCCAATTCGAAAAAAACTGTTGGAGAGTGAGTGTCATTGAGGATATATATCTCCAAATTTTAAAAATTGGACCAAGTTACAATAATTGTTGCCAGGTAAGTGCAGATATTTTGGATTTGCATATACGGGGTGATTCAAGAAAATAAATGAAAGCGTAAATTGATTTTACTGATTTACTCAGGAACTACAAAACCGAATGCTTCGAAATCTTGAAGATATTTTAAAATTATCATAAGCATGGTAAATTTTTGATCAAAATGTATTTGGTCGTCCCCCCTAAAAAATTTATGACGTCACCACAAAATTTTGCTGAATAAATCCTATCTAAAATGTACAAAATATGGTGAGTCTCTTCTTGTGATTTATCATTCCATTCAAATTTTTTCGATTTGCATATACAGGGTGACTCAAAAAAATTAATGAATGCGTAAATTTATTTTATTGATTTAATCAGGAACTACAAAACCGAATGCTTTGAAATCTTGCAGATGTTTTAAGGTCATAAAGAGCATAATAAATTTTTAGTCAAAATATATTTGGTTATCTTCTACAAAAAACTGATGACGTCAGCTCAAAAGTTTGCCGAATAAATCGTATCTAAAATGTACAAAATATGATGAGTCTGTACTTGTGATTTATCATTCCATTCATATTTTTGGATTTGCATATGCAGGGTGACTCAAAAAAATTAATGAAGGCGTGAATTTATTTTATCGATTTAATCAGGAATTACAAAACCGAATGCTTTGAAATCTTGGGAATATTCTAAAGTTATTATAAGCATGGTAAACTTTTGTTCAAAATGTATTTGTTCATCCCTCCTAAAAAAATTGATGACGTCACCCTTAAATTTTGCTGAATAAATCCTATCTAAAATGCAAAAAATATGATGAGTTTGTACTTGTGATTTATCATTCCATTCATATTTTTTAGATTTTCTTAAGAGGTGGTTCAAAAAAATTAATGAAGTCAATTTATTTTATTGATTAAATTAAAGGCAACACTTATTATTAGTATTATACCCCAACCAACCCAATTTGGTAGACAAAAAATTTCTTAAAGGAAAAACTCGGTTGAAACATAAGGGTAGCATGCTTATTTACATCGACTTTAACATTACAGACCTGCATTTGTTTTATGCGTTCACTTGGTTCCGCGAATGTGAAATAGACATGTTTATAATCAACCAATTGTGAATTTCACCGTCAAGAATTAAAATAAAACCCAATGTTTTATATAATAAGCGGAAGTCGAAGCAATAAAACCGATGGTCGTTTTGTTTACAGTTTCTCTGTTTGACTCTCAAGTATGCTGTTACGCCTGTCATCTTAAATTAAGAATGTTTATACATACACGATTTTCAGCTGCCTGGGATACGTATACGTGAGTAAATTGTTTCGTTATTTTATTGATTATTACAAATCAATATTCAAAACGACCCAATTCATTTTCCTGAAAATTTGAGAATATAATAATGTTATTCTTAGTATTACACTACATCTATCCCAAACAGATATACGTGTCCTTGCAAAAATGTTGATGACGTCATCGCAATTTTTTTTTAAATTCCCACTACAAAAATGTAATGAGAAAAAACCCAATAGGCATGCAGTCGTCAAGTTTCCGACAGCGAGGGAAGTACTGTCTAAACTCTTTAGACCAATTTTTTACGTATGTTGTCAGCACCCGGATTGCGGAAAAAATGGACTGGATCTTGCCCGCAGTTAATTGCAGCGTGTATAATAAAGCAGCAAAGTGAAACTTTGAACGTACTTAAATAAAAAAATGTATGCAAGTATTCCGAAAAGGAGAAGTTGCGCTCAAAGAATCTCCGGTCGAGGGTAAGATAGTCTGCAACTAAAACTCTCGAAAAATTCAACGAGACTCTGAAAACTTCATCCACTCCACTAAATTAGAAAAAGGTGAACGGGAAGCGAGTTGAAAATTGGCAAAACGGTAAATAAGGAGTGTCATCGAGTGAAGCAAAGCCAGCGGCAAGCTCGCATTCAATCACATTCCTGGCGTTCTTGGCGAACTTATTAAAAGATTGCTTTATCAGCGAGACAATACGCAACCCCATCCGGTTCGTCTTGGGGGCACATGACTGATGGCGCCGCCTTAATTAAACTCCAAATTAATCGGGATGCTCCACTCACTAATTAATAAACCAGAATCTTATTGGTATATAGCCATCCGGCTGCGTTTATCTAGGTGTTGCGGCTTTCCAGCGGCTCGGAACAAATTAGGGCGCTGTAAACAACGCTGCTGAGGGCGCGTTGGTCGCCGAAAAGCACTAAAATGTTGATTAAACCAGTTTTCAGAATATACGTAATACAGGAGTCGAATGAACAGCTCACGAGTCCAACTACTATAGTCAATCGATAGTAGTTTGCGTGGGTTAATAACGCCCCTTGACCACACCATAGATAACGTATTCGGTTAAACCGAGCATATTTCCTACGTAAACAACACTGTAGCGGGACGTCATTGTTGTCGCTGCTGATTATCGAGGACGCGGAAGACGCTTTACGACAGTGCAGCAGCAGGGTGGCAACGCAGATCTTTACTGCTAGCTTCGAAATTTACAACAGTGACGGCCGTAAAACTTTATATATTTTCGTCCATTAAAATATTTTAACAACGTCGAGGTCAGCCCTATGAAAAATGTAAGATAATGCGTTTTATGTAACATGTCGGGAGTTTTATTTTTCGGAAACAAGCGCCAGTTAATTTATAGGAACTAGAGGAGTTCGGCGTTGCCATTGGTAACGCTTTAAAAAATCTGGCATGGTGGACGCTGGATTCGAGTGGTCGTCCAAACATAAACTGAGGGTGGATAATTAAAAACCTGTGTTTAATTTAGCCTAGATGTGTGAGTCATTTTGTTTTATTGTCGAGGCCGTTTGTATGCATTTAATTAAATTCTAGAGATTCTAGTGTAAAAATATCTTAATTACGGAATAAAAGCCGGACTTCTTTTGAATTAATTCGCCTGCAGAGCGTGCGATGAATGCGCAAATGGCGGATTAAAGCGCGTTTGCAGGATTTTTTAGATGCGTTTTTAATTATCATTCAAGGAGCTTTGTCGACTGATAATAAGTAACGATTGTTTTGTTGTAATTCGTTCTTTAATGGAGGTTGTTCGGGTCGAGTTCTGTATTTGAACTCATCTTGTTCTGAGATCCCGTTGTTGATTATTTCTTCTTCTTCTTTCACTGTATCTCCTTGTACCATTGCTAGGTGTAATCTCTTAATCCGTTTCTTCCTTTCTTTCCGGTCCCGGCGCAAATCTTTAATTTCGCCCATCGTTTTTCCTCGTCGTTCTCCAGTTTTTCGTATTTGCTGGTTCCAAGTCTTCATAGTCTCCCTTTTTTCCTTTCTCTCTACGGTTCTGTTTACTTCATATAGACGGCATTTAAAAAAATTTACCACCCTGAAGGAGCAGCTAATGTGTTGGGAGGATGAGGTAAACGACGCAATCTTTTATCGTCATATACTAGAGATGGTCGATTGAGTTTAAATCAGGGGAGCGTGGTGACCACGGCAAAACATTGACATTATTTTCGGTCAGGCAGCATTATCTTGTTGGAAAATTACTTCTGCAAGGTCTTGTAGCAGAAGGAGGATAGGCTCTAGAACCTCAACGACGGGCATTTTCCTGGAAATAAAAACTAGCTTTTTTACGCGGAATATTTCGAACAAATAAAAAATTTGATTTTAGAATTTTCAAATGAGAACTGCAGTGTCATATGTCACCAAAACATTCTTTGCTGAACGAATTACCATTTATTAAAGCGAATTCTCAATTTATTTCGGTGACGCTTACAAAACTAGAAACACTGCATGCCCTTAATTAAATCTGTAAAAAGTAACAAAAATAATTTTAAAAAATTGCTGCTTAAAAGCTCCTAAGAAACATCACTTTAATATTAAGTGGCGAATCATTAGATATTCATCGTCATCTTCAAAATTTACATTAGTAAATGTTGTTTAAATTTTATAAAATAGGATGCTTCTACACTTGTGGATGAATTTTTATCCTATATTTTGGAACAAAATCAAAATTATACAATTTTTTGATGTCACAATTTGTCGAATTTTCAATTTTTTGGCTTTTCGATATTTCAAGTTTTGATTTCTCAGTTTTTCGATATTTCAGTTTTTGATTTTTCAATTTTTCAATTTTTCGATTTTCAATTTTTTACTTGTTATTTTTGGGATTTTTCAATTTTTCGATTCTTTAATTTCTCGATTTTTCAAATTTTCGATTTCTCGATTTCCTTATTTTTAAATTTCTCTATTTTCCGATATTTCAATTCTACGATTTTTACTTCCCGAGCGTAAGCAAAGGAAGTATTGTAATCGAGTCCGTCGGCCGACTCTCTACTTTTACGTTTTCTCGATCTTTCATGACCCCTAGAAGACGAAGAAATAGGTCTCCCATTTCCGTCTCTCTGTCCGTCCGTCTGTCCGTCTGTCCGTCCGTCTGTCCGTCTGCCGTCCCGGATTTTTATTAGACAGATAATCTCCGAAAGTACTCGACCGATTGTTGTGAAATTCTGTACTTATATTAAGAATATCATGTAGATGGTAAAACGCTAACCAAAATTTGTCTAATCATCCCCACCACTAATGCGATGACGTCACTTCAAAATTGTACATAGTAAATGGGTTTTCAATTGTATAAAATAACATAGTCTTACACATGTAGTTTACAACTCTGAATCGACTTTTCACCCGAAACGTCCAGATTTTTGGAAAAAAAATCAAAATTATAAAACAACATTTTGAAATTTAATTTTCAATCTGCTAACCAGAATGCTTTGAAATGTTGCAGATGTTTTAATTCTATAAAGAGCATCATAAATCTTTAGTCAAAAAATATTTGCTTATCCCCTCCAAAAACTTGATGACGTCAGCTCAAAAGTTTGTGGAATAAATCATATCTAAAATGTACAAAATATGATGAGTCTGTACTTGTGATCTATCACTCCATTCATATTTTTTGGATTTGCATATACAGGGTGACTCAAAAAAATTAATGAATGCGTAAATATATTTTATTGATTTAATCAGGAACTACAAAACCGAATGCTCTGAAATCTTGCAGATGTTTTAAGGTCATAAAGAGCATAATAAATGTTTAGTCAAAATATATTTGCTTATCCCCTCCAAAAACTTGATGACGTCAGCTCGAAAGTTTGCCGAATAAATCATATCTAAAATGTACAAAATATGATGAGCCTGTACTTGTCATTTATCACTCCATTCATATTTTTTGGATTTGCATATACAGAGTGACTCAAAAAATTAATGAATGCGTAAATATATTTTATTGATTTAATCAGGAACTACAAAACGGAATGCTCTGACATCTTGCAGATGTTTTAAGGTTATAAAGAGCATAATAAATGTTTAGTCAAAATATATTTGCTTATCCCCTCCAAAAACTTGATGACGTCAGCTCGAAAATTTGCCGAATAAATCATATCTAAAATGTACAAAATATGATCAGTCTGTACTTGTGATCTATCACTCCATTCATATTTTTTGGATTTGCATATACAGGGTGATTCAAGAAAATAAATGAAAGCGTAAATTTATTTTACTGATTTACTCAGGAACTACAAAACCGAATGCTTCGAAATCTTGAAGATATTTTAAAATTATCATAAGCATGGTAAATTTTTGATCAAAACGTATTTGGTCGTCCCCCCTAAAAAATTTATGATGTCACCACAAAATTTTGCTGAAAAAATCCTATCTAAAATGTACAAAATATGGTGAGTCTCTTCTTATGATTCATCATTCCATTCAAATTTTTTCGATTTGCATATACAGGGTGACTCAAAAAAATTAATGAATGCGTAAATTTATTTTATTGATTTAATCAGGAACTACAAAACCGAATGCTTTGAAATCTTGCAGATGTTTTAAGGTTATAAAGAGCATAATAAATTTTTAGTCAAAATATATTTGGTTATCTTCTACAAAAAACTTGATGACGTCAGCTCGAAAATTTGCCGAATAAATCGTATCTAAAATGTACAGAATATGATGAGTCTGTACTTGTGATTTATCATTCCATTCATATTTTTGGATTTGCATATGCAGGGTGACTCAAAAAAATTAATGAAGGCGTGAACTTATTTTATCGATTTAATCAGGAATTACAAAACCGAATGCTTTGAAATCTTGGGAACATTTTAAAGTTATTATAAGCATGGTAAACTTTTGTTCAAAATGTATTTGTTCATCCCTCCTAAAAAAATTGATGACGTCACCCTTAAATTTTGCTGAATAAATCCTATCTAAAATGCAAAAAATATGATGAGTTTGTACTTGTGATTTATCATTCCATTCATATTTTTTAGATTTTCTTAAGAGGTGGTTCAAAAAAATTAATGAAGTCAATTTATTTTATTGATTAAATTAAAGGCAACACTTATTATTAGTATTACACCCCAACCAACCCAATTTGGTAAACACAAAATTTGTTAAAGGAAAAACTCGGTTGAAACATAAGGGTAGCACGCTTATTTACATCGACTTTAACATTACAGACCTGCATTTGTTTTATGCGCTCACTTGGTTCCGCGAATGTGAAATAGACATGTTATAATCAACCAATTGTGAATTTCACCGTCAAGAATTAAAATAAAACCCAATGTTTTATATAATAAGCGGAAGTCGAAGCAATAAAACCGATGGTCGTTTTGTTTACAGTTTCTCTGTTTGACTCTCATGCACGTATGCTGTTACGCTTGTCATCTTAAGTTAAGAATGTTTATACATAAACGATTTTCAGTTGCAGTATACGTGAGTAAATTGTTTCGTTATTTTATTGATTATAAAAAATCAATATTCAAAACGACCCAATTCATTTTCCCGAAAATTTGGGAATACAATAATTTTATTCTTAGTATTACACTACATCTATCCCAACTGATATACGTGTCCTTGCAAAAATGTTGATGACGTCATCGCATTTTTTTTTAAATTCCCACTACAAAAATGTAATGAGAAAAAAACACAATAGGCATGCAGTCGTCAAGTTTCCGACAGCGAGGGAAGTACTGTCTAAACTCTTTAGACCAATTTTTTGGCT